AGTCAAGGTCATTGTCTACAACAGCTGATCTGAAGGACGCACGACGCATATCGAGTTCCTTGCTGTATAACCCGCATTGTCTTACTCGGAACAATGGCTTTTTTTTTATATGTCATTTTGTTAACAATGACTCCTGAGTCGTTTGTTGTGTGTTTGTTTGTTTGTTCGTTCGTTTGTCCATTTACCGGTATCGCGTTGCATTTTTTTAAAAAAAAAAAAATCCTACCTCACCTCATACCATATTCTCTCTCTCTCTCTCTCTCTCTCTCCTTTTACCATTTTATGAACGAACGTGTTAAGGTTTCCGCGATGCTCTCGCACACACACGCCAACGCAAGAAGACACGTGTTCACACGTTGTTTGCACGTTCTTGTGTATCAATTCAATGTGATGATGCGATTGGATTATGAGAGGATAAGTAAAAATTTGATAAAATTGTTAACACAACACCACCTTGGCGGTTTGTAGTTGTTGTTGTTGTTGTTGTTGTTGTTGTCGTCGTCGTCGTCTTACTCGTACTCGTTCAAGGTTGTCGTCCCGCCTAAACGTTCAATAATTAATAAAAAAAAAAAAAAAAAACAATGTCAAACATCTTTGATCTATCGACCTTTTTCCATGTTTTTTTTTTTTTTTTTTTATTATTAGTCACCGACTGGAAACGTCGAGATTAAAAAATTATTATTATTATTATTATTAATGTTATTACAACAAAATATTTTTAATTTTTTGTTTGTTTGTTTGTTTGTTAGCGTACAAAACGTGGTGAAAATATTATTATTTATTCGATTGAAAAAAAAAATAATAATAACGTCGTTTTGCGTTTGTTTGTTCGCATGTTTGTTCGCTCGCTCGCTTGTTTGTTTGTTTGCTTGTTTGTTTGTTATTCTTAACAATTTGGCAAAGATGAAACAACAAACCTGCAAACGATGATACTTCGGTTGACGCGGCTGACGCGCACGCGCGTTAAGTCTATATCTTTTAATCCGTTTATAAAATGACGACAAAAATCAAACAACCAGATTAATAATAATAATAATGATTCACGTTATTGTTGTTGTTAGAAAATTTTTTTTTTTCTAAACACACGCGTGGATTTTTCACGTGTCCTCCTAATATTCAAACGTGAACGTGTGTGTGTGTGTGTGTGTGTGTGGCACATTCGTGGCACAGCAGTTAAGCACCCCCGCGACCTCATTAAGAGAGAGAAAGAGAGAGATAGAGTACAAATTTTTGAATTTCTAAGAAGAGAGAGAGAGAGAGAGAGAGAGAGAGTTTACCCCGCTTAGAGGTAAATTTTTTTTTTTTTTAATGTAAAAATAAAGACTTTAAATTAATCATTAAATAATTTGACGAAAACAAAAAAAAAAAAAAAAAAAAAATTTAAACGCGTTGTTGTTGTTGTTGTTGTTGTCCGTGGCGGTTGTTGTGGCGGCGACGACGACGACGACGGCGGTTGTTGCGGTGGCGGCGGCGGTAGTAGTAGTAGTGGGAGAATCGTAAGAGTATAAAAATACAGTTGATTGTTGTGTTTTTTAATAACCGTTGAATTATTCAGGTACAATCTTTTCGACTGCGTGTTTATCATCATCATTATCATTATCATCATTATTATTATTATCATTATTATCATTATTATACATTTACACCGTACGCACGCGGTTTTAAATTACTTTGTTTCTTCGTTTCTTTTCTCTTTCATTTCTTACAGTCGTAAATCATTGGAATTTTTTTTCTAATTAATTTTCGTAACGTTTACATACAAATTTTTTTTTTTTTTGTTCCTGGAGTTTTTGTTGACGAAAATTCTTTTTCCATACTTTTTATTCGATTCCAGAACGAATCGGCGTTTTTTTATAAAAAAAAAAAAATAATAATAATAATAATGGAAAAAGATTCCAATTGGCACCGCCGTATTATTATTATTATTATTGTTATTATTATTATTATTAATAATTTTCTCACTGCAACAATTTTAATTGATAATAAAAAAAAAAAAAAAAAAAAAAAAAAAATGGCGGCTACCCGTCGCGTTTAAGCAAAAAGCCATCGGGTCGGTCGGGTGGTATTGTTCCATACGGATTTGATTGGAAAAATTCTAATGATAATGATGATGATGAAGATGATGATGATGATGATGATGATGATAAGGGAGAGAAGACGACTTTGAGTCTACCTCGTATACATTGTGGCAAACAAGACAAAGCACACATGTGGCGGACATGCGTTATATTTTGTGGTGACTGTGCACATTATTATTCTCTCTAATAATTTATTTTCGTATGGGTCGGTTTGGGTCAATTCTCTGCCCTTTTCCCTTCCCTCCCCTCCCCTCCCCCTTCCCGCCCCATCCTCCCCTCCACCTTCTTCCGATTTCCCCCCCGCGTGTGTGTGTCACGTGGTGTTTTCACGTGGTGGTTGATCTCGCGGTACGTAAACAACATTGCAACGGTTCTTTTCCTTCTCCTCCTCCTTCTTCTTCTTCTCCTTCTTCTTCTTCTCCTTCTTCTTCTTGTAATTAATAATCAATTAAAATTATTTATCGGTAGGAAAAAAAAAAAAAAAAAAATTATTATCGCAGCAAATTTGTTTTTTTTTTTTTATTCTTATTTTCTTCCGATGAAGAGTGACGTGGTCACAAATGGCGGCGGGGAAAAAAAAAAAAAAAAAAAAAAAAAAACATGCAACGAAATCTGCTTGATCATGACCGCATTTATTGTTTGAATTCGTTTTTTTTCAATAAGTAGGCAAAGTAATAATAAACCGTTCCGAGAATTAATAATAATAATAATAAATAAATACAATAAAAAAAAATGATGATGATGATGATGATGATGGAATGAATTTGAAATATCGAACGTTCCGGAAGTGGTATATATATATATATTCGCGTTAAGGAAAAAAAAAAAAAATTTAACGTTGATAAATGAAAGTTGGTTGGTACGACTGTTTGTAATAATTTAAATTACAATAAATATTAGTTTGAACGAAACGTAATGGAATGCTGAATGAATTTGTTGTTTGTTTGTTTGTTTGTTTGTTTGTTGCGTAGAATTTAAGTATGAAGAAAAAATGAAATATTTTGCGCGTAAACTTTCTCAGCTTCTGGCAGCATTTTTTATTCCAAAAAAAAAGAAGCCCTTTGGATCATATTCCAGTTCCAGCGCGTGCGCAAAGTCGTACGTTTAAAAACAATCAATCAATCAATCAATCAATGAGATAGGTATGCGAGAGAGAGAGAGAGAGAAAAAAGCGTGGTAGCGAACGGTGGAAATAAATATTTTTATTACTCGAAAGTTTATATTCGTATCGTACCTGAAAAAATATCAGAGCGTTCTTTTATCTTTAAGATGGGGAAAATCGTTTTCAATGCCACGATGCCAATTTTAATAATTGATGGTATGGTTGCTGCTACTACTACCACCCATATACCCATCTACCCATCTACCTACGTACCTGGGATATATAAAATATTACGGCATTTCGATATGCGATGAGTGTTTTTTAATCTCCCCTGCCCACTCTTATCCTTTCATCCTTTTCCTTCCTCCCCTCCCCCTCGCCATTTCTTATATATATATCCCCCTCGCAATTTTTTTTTTTTTTTTTTATATCCACAGAGAGAGAGAGAGAGAGAGAGAGATACTATCGGTTATTCTTTCGTGGATGGGATCAGAGGGAAAGAGGGAAAGGGCGGAAAGGGGATAGGAATGCGGTGGAGGTAGGGAATAACCATTTTTCTCGAAGTCAAATATTCCCTTTACTCACTACCTGTGTGCCTGTATGTATGTGTGTGTGTGCCTGTATGTGCCTGTGCCTGTGCCTCGAACGCCTTTTTAATCAATAAATTATTTTAACGGCTTCGGCGCAGAAAAACGTATTTGCTTTGTCATTTTACGTGTAATTATGAAAAGCATAAAAAAAAAAAAAAAATTCTCTCTCGCATGGGGAGGCCCTCCGGTTATTATTATTATTATTATTATTATTATTATTATTATTATTATTATTATTATTATTATTATTATTATTTTCTTTTTTTTTTCTTTTTTTTCTTCTACTCCCCATTTAATAAATAACTACGTAAATAGCTTCTTATTAATTATTATTAACTCGAGAAAATCATCATTATTATTATTATTATTACTGTTTTTTTTTTCGTGGCATTAACTGGTCGGTCGGGCGGAAGGAAAGAAAAAAGGATGGAATGTCGTGTAACTAGTATGTAAAATAATTTTTTTTTGCGATCGCGAGAACTCACTGTTGCAATCGTATATTTCGTTCGTGTACGCAACCATCGAACGTGACACGTTTACGTCATTAAATTTAATTAATATCTAACGACCCGATTTATTTATTTATTTTTTGGGGGGGAGGGGGATGGGGAGTAAGGGGGTGGGAAGGGGGAGGTTTAAATAACCTGTGACACCATTTTCTTTTTTTTAATCTTTATCATTTTCCTCTTTCTATCTCTCTCTCTCTCTCTCTCTCTCTCATTTTGTTTTGTTTTTTTTTGTTGTCAAAATTAATTCGTTACTGTCTTGCATTATTATTATTATTATTATTATTTTTTAATATTTAAATAACTTTTGTTATTGTTGTTGTTTTTATAACTAACTGTGCCGGTTCGCGTTAAATAAAAAAAAAAATTCAGGTACGTCGTCTTTTGTGTTTGGCAAAAAAAAAAAAAAAAGTTAATCAAAAAATTTCGGTGCCTGTATGCGGAACCTACAGGTCAGCCCACTTTTTTTTTTTTTTTGTTAAATATTTGTACATACATGCACACGATGTTTAAAAAAGAAATTTTTATTAATAATAATAATAATAATAATGATTTTTTTTGTTGTTAAAATTGATCGCGAATGATGACGTGGTCAAATGCAAACGTATGGCTCTTATCATTTTGTAGAATTTAATATCCGATACGAAATTGCCTTTTAATTACCGTAATAATAATAATAATAATAGATGAGAATTGATTGATTTAATAATGACGTCATAAAAACATGTTGGCAGGTAAAAAATGGAAAGCGTTAACTCCGACTGATAGAAGACCCTACGTCGAAGAAGCCGAAAGATTGAGGGTCATACACATGCAAGAACATCCCAATTACAAATACCGTCCGAGAAGGAGAAAGCATAATAAAAGAGGTGGTGGCGGAGGTGGCGGCGTCGGAGGAGGAGGAGTAGGAGGTGGTGGTGCGAGTCCTCCGGGACTCAGCAGTCCCTCGTCGACGAGCGCATCGGGAGGACGTAGACCGTCGTCGACTCCGGGACCTTATCCGGGATCTCCGTCGAATAAATACCAGTATAGTTATTCTATGCCGCAAAATAGTTTCATTCATCAAGTCGCTTCACCCATGCAAAGCCCTTATTACTATAGTAAATCTCCGAGCACGTTCGGTTCCCCGTATAGCACGACTCCGATACTTCACACTCCCGAAGCATCCCCTCCGAGCACGCCGGAAATGAAAAACGACACGGTCCAACAACCGCAAAGCAGTTTAGATTCGACTCATTCCGAAGATCACTCCAAACAGGGAGGAGGGAAAATGGATGGAGTTGAAAAAAATTCATCTTTGCCGACTCCGGAAATGTCTCCGATGGAACAGGAAAAAGACTCGCACGACAAGAAAAAAAATTACAACAGTTACGAGGCTCATAGTCAAGATTTCCGGTTCAATAGATTTCAACAAACGCATAATTCTTACGGTCCTTCGTCGAATTTGGGTGTCGGTCATCATGGTGTGACGGGCGGCGTCACGCAAACTCCGATAGCTGCCATGAGTCTCACGAACGGAGTCGTTATGATGTGCAGTAATCAAAGAACGTACGAACACACAGGGATCGTGACAGGTGAGAGGAAGAACATCGAAGTAAAACAACGAACGTTAAAAAAAAAAAAAGGGAATAATTCATAACCGAACGTTTTTTTGTTTTCCAGGAACGTATTTCCCACCAGTTGCGACGGCTCAAGAAAGTCACGTGTTATCCGCGAACGCTTCGACTCACATGTACCCACCGACAACTTCGAGCATAACTCAATCATCATCAACATCTCCGTACATAAGCGAAACGTACGGTAATCCTTCACACTACCACAACATCCTAAGGCAAGACCATTATACCGGTGAGTGAATTTTCTATCTCTCTCTAGGAAAAATTTCGTTCCGGGAAAATTTTTGTTTACCTCCATTCACAAATCATCATCATCATCATCGTTTAATAGTTTTTTTTTTTTTTTTTTTTTTTTTCTCCACATAATCTGATTGTTAAAAATTGTTTACACGATACGAAAAACGTTTGTTTTTGATTTCGTGGTAAGATGAACGTGGTGGTGCGTGTGTGTGTGTGTCTTCAGGGTTAGATGACCCCCCCCTGATAAGTGTACCAACTTAAAACCATTAAAAAAACAAACAAACCAACGTTTTTTTTTTTTTTTTTTTTTTTTTTTTTTTCTTCGTCCATCCATTGGCCTGCGAATGCCTACAGCAATCATTATTATTATTATTATTTGCCGTAATTTGATTCTTGCATTGAGTTTAAAAAAAAAAAAACTTTCCAGAATGTTCTTTTTTTTTTAAAAAAAAAAAAAAAAAAAAAAACCTTGAAACTTTGAATTGTCGACTCCCATTATTGACGAAATCGAAAACCGATACTTGATTTTTTTTTTTTTTTTTTCCATTGTTAATAAAAGTTCATTGCTCATCTTTCTTTTTTTTGCTTTTTTATCATTTCCACATGTTTTAAACCTTCTTCTTCTTCCACTGCATTTTCTTCTTCTTCCACTACATTTTCTTCTTCCATATCGTCCTATTTAAAAATATGTTTCGTTAATTTTTCTCTTTTGATTTTAACCCATGTATGTATTGCCTACCATTAACGATCCGCCATTTTGTTTTTTGTTTCCTCCCCCCCCCCCGTTTGATTGACGTCCTACCTTTAAATTCGCATCCTGTAAAAAAAAAAAAAAACCGACGAAAACATTTTTTAGTTTTTTGTTGTACGAAACTAATTAAAAATGTCGGAAGAGAAAATTTTTTATTTTCCGTTATTATTATTATTATTATTTTCGTTATTTCGTCACGATCGAGCAGTTTATCGTGGCTTTAAAAAATCTACGACTACGACTACGACAAAAACAATTTTCACGTTTGTATAATGACACGAATTAATTAAATGAAAGTTTTCGAAAGTTATAAGAAAAATTAAAAAATGTTTTTTTTTTTTTTTTTTTTTTTTTTTTCGCGTTCGTTAAAATTTCCCTTTCCTCTACTTTCCCCCTCTATCCCCCTTTATTCTCCTTTCCAGTTTTTCTCCAGTTCCCTCCAGTATTAATTACGTTTAAAATGTCCGCCGCCGCCATTTTTCTAGCGGAAAAATACGAAAACGAAATGATTTAATTAAATTTGTTTGAATTTGTTTTCCCCTCTCTCTCTCTCTCTCTCTCTCTCTTTCTCTCTTTCTCTCTTTCTCTCTTTCTCTCTTTCTCTCTTTCTCTCTCTCTCGCTCTCTCTTTCTTTCTTTCTTTCTTTCTTTCTCATTCGAAATCGTGATTATTAACACCCAGAAATTATTTATTTTTTATTTTATATAGACAAAATTGATTTATTGATTTATTGATTAATAAAAGATAATAAGGACAAATAAAAAAAAAAAAAAGAAGATGGCGGGTAATTATAAATCGTGTCTCTATTTGAATTTTTTTCCTTTTCTTTTTCTCTTTAATTATTTTTATTTTCCGATAATAAGATTTCGCACCGCTCGATATTACTCTATGATGATGATAATAATAATAATAATAATAAATTATCCTACGGGTATTGAGGCGAAGAGAAGGAAAGAGAAGGGAAGGGGGGAGAATTAAAGATTTATTATGACCGTTTCGTTTCGTTGTTTTAAGGTATCGGTCAGTTCGTTTTATCATTATTATTATTATTTTGGATGTTTTTGAGTTGATGACGATGGTGATGATGACGTAGACTATGATGATGATGACGTAGAAGACGATGACGGTTACAATGAATTAAATGGAAAATACGCGACTTTGATTTGAATTTTTTTTTTCCTTTTTGTTCGTTCCCTCATTTTCACCGCCGACGGTACCACCGCCGCCGGTGCCACCACCGATGGTGCGACCGCTGGTACCTGCCACTACTTCACCCGACGATTAATTATTATTAATATTTGAGGGCGACGACGACGACGACGACGACGACGCGAGGTTTTCCAGTCGCCAACCGCAAAAAAACCTTTTTTTTTTCTTTTGCGGTTTTCTTTTTCAAACTCGTGCTCGTGTTTTTTCCCCCTATCTCTCTCTCTCTCTCTCTCTCTCTCTCTCTCTCTCTCTCTCTCTCTCTCTCTCTCTCTCTCTCTCTCTCTCTCTGTCTTTCTCTCACCCGTTTGTAAACGATTGACAATTTTAACGGGATAATAATTTTGTATTTTTATTATAAAAACGTGATTCTCTCCCATCATTAACTCATTCCTACTTTTCACGAGCAGCAGCGTCGTCTGCTCATCACGATAAATATGTCCCCCATCGCGGACATTTTTTTTTTGAATTTCGAAACAACAACCTTTTTTTTTTTTACTCCGTCGGGTAGTAAAGTAATTGAAAAGGCATTATCATCATCATTATCATCATTTTCAAGATGGAGGGTAAAACAATGATGAGTGTTAAATTGTTGTTCACAGTTGGATGATTGGAATGTAAAACCATCATTTATTATACATGTGACGATTTTAATTGACTGTGTTATTGTTAAATCGTGATCGCGAGTATACGATTTCAAGCTAAATTTAAATGTTGCATATTCGAGTGAGTCACGTGCGTGCGTGTGTGCGTGCACACGCACGCACGCACGCGCGAAAAAGTTGTAAGCGAAAAGGGAAAATGTGTAGAGTGATGACGTCACAAAACGAATTATAACGAATTGAAATTTTGTCATTTTCAGGTACTCAAATTCCAGTTCTTTCAAACGACGATAGATCTCAATCATATACGAGTAATCATGGGACTGCGGCGGCGGCGGCAGCAGCAGCAGCAGCAGCAGCGTCGGCGACGACGGCAACGACGACGACGATGATAAATCACCTCAACTGTATACAACCCAGCATGGACGCCATCGCTCAAGATATAATATTACCCACGGACGGTGCCGAGCACTGCGTCGACAGGAGCGAATTCGACAAATACATAAAATACGGTAGGAGTTGCGAGGGACAAAGAATGGATTCGAATCACAATTATCCTCATCATGGCGTCGTGACGGCACCCAATTACTATCATCAGAGCGTCGACGTTAAAAGCGAACACGGAAATTATCCGGGACAAGGTTTCGAACCTTTGAAATCCGAAGATGATTTCAGCGTCATTTTGGCGGGTGTTAGAAAAACTTGCTACAGCAGTTGAAAGAAAGAAGAAGAAGGGACGGATGCAGACGACATTAGAAAAAAAAAAAAAACTTATCACTCGGTATATCCGGTTTATCGTAAACGGTGAGGGCAGGGGAGGGAAGGGAAAAACAGGAATCTTATCCTGTTGGAATTGAATTCCCGTTGTGAATACTCTTAGCCCCTCCTAATTGTCCAAAATTTCTTTCTCGGTTGTGTGAGCAACGCGTTGTGACGTCATGCGATATGGTTGTGAATAATAATAATGATAATAATGATAATAATATTAATGATAATGATAATTATAATGATAATGATGATAATAATGATAGATAGCATTTATATATTGTATACATATGTAGTATAATATTGTTCATATTATTATATTATACTATATTTATTCGATCAATTGGAAAAACAAAAAAAAAAAAAAAGGTTTTATTTTCAACCTTTTCCTTTTTCTTCCCCCCTTTCCCGCCAATCACTACAACACTCTCCTCCCCTCTTATTATTTTCCACCAATTAAATTTTTTCTTTTTCCCCCACCTCTCCTCCATTTCGAAAATCCCCCATCATATTAATTTTCATTCCCTCTTTTACTTTTTTCCCTTCCCCTTTCCTTTCATTTCATTTTCCACCAATCACATCGTTTCCCTTTGCGTAAACCCCTCCTCCTTTCTTTTACTTTTCACTTGACTTAATATTTATACGAAATGGCAAAAATTGCGAAAATGGGAATATGTATGGGGAAAGTTAAAAGGAAAGAAAAAGAGTAATTGGAGGAAGTGGAGGAAGGGGGAGGGGCATGAAATAATGCAATTAAGTTGTTAAGATCATTCGAGTTCATCAAGTACGAGACGTTTTAGTTAAGAAAAGTAAAAAATCAAGGTAATTAGTAGTAGAAGTGGAAGTAGAAAAAGTAGAAGAAAGAAAGATAATAAAAATAAAATAAGTAACGGTTTGATGTAATGTTAAGACCACCGAGTTTGTTTCTCCCACTCCTACACACACACACACAAACTCATTAAAAACAATCAATCAATAAATCAATCAATCGATCAATCGATCGATCGATTGATTCCTGACTATTGATAAAAAAAAAAAAATTTCATTTCATTTTAATTCAATTTTTTTCTTCGTACATTTCTTTACCCCCTCCCCTCTTGCCGTGGAATTAGAAAAGAAAAAAAAAGTATTAAATAATTAAACGTCGTAAACACGCGTGCGTCTTCATTTTCGTCTAAACGCACGACAAACGGACAAACGAACGCCCTCGAGGATTAATTTTTTTTTTTGTGAGAAAAACAAAACCGCTTATGTTTAGCATATGGGAATTAAATATAATTAAAAGAATTCATGGACATGACATGAATCTAATTAATAAATCATAAAAAAAAAAAAAAAAAAGTTAATGAAGATGAAATGTGGCAAATGTGTTTGTTATGATGACGTCATAATTCCATTCCACCATTTTTTCCTTCCGACATAAAAACTTCTTCTACCTTTTGATCTTTTTTTATTAAAATCTTTTGTCTTGCGAGTTGTCAGTCATCAAACAAAAAGAATAATAATAATAATAATACTTGCCCCTCCGGTGGAAAATATATTTTTCAAAGGGGGGAAGAAGGAAGAGGGAGGGAAAGGGAGGAAAGGGGAAGGAACATGATGGAAAGGTCCAAATTAGAATTTTTTTTTTTTTTTTTTTAATGTTGACTGAGTATCTCCACGAAGGAGAGAGAGAAGGGGGATTGGGGGTTGGGGAGGGGTTTCTTCATTTCATCACCAACAACCAACAACCGACAACCGACAACTTTTTAACTTTGATGAAAATAATAATAAATCGTCGTACTCGGTGATGCCCTTTTACATTTTTATTTTTTTTTTTTCAACTTCGTTTTATAAATTAAAACAAATTTGTCAAATGTGAAAGAAACAACAAGAAGTGGAAGAAGAAAAAGTGGAAGAAGAAGAAAAATTTTTTTGGTAAATTACAATAATAATAATAATAATAATAATAATAATAATAAAAATAATTTAAAAATTTTTTTTTGTTGAGTTCGGGAGTAGCGAGTTGAATGTGTGAGCGGATTATAAAGGAAATAATAAAATATATCGAACGACCGGAAGTTATGATTTTAAATCCACCGGTCGTGATATTAACCGGAAATTCTATAAAGTTATAAATTTAAAGGGAAAAAAAAAAAAAATTTTATTCGATTCGAGTCTTTTATTATTTTATTATTCGAACGAATTCGTTCACACAAACGTCGAATTTTTTTATTTTTATTCTATTTTTATTTTTGATTTTTGAGTTGCGGTGAATTTGTTTGTTTGTTAGTTTGTTTCTGTTTGTTTGCTTGTTTGTTTTCGTTTGTTTCTCGCGTACGATTTAAAAATATAAAAAAAAGGAAAAAAAATGTAAGGAAAAAAAGAAGAAAATTTGTTGTTTTTGAAGTTTTTTTTTTTGGATTTTTCCGTTACGGTAAGTTTGTTTGTTTACTTGTTTGTTCATTTGTTCGTTGATTTGTTTGTTTGATCATTTGTTTGTTTTGCTTCCGTTTGTTTCTCCCGCACGGTTTAAGAGAAATACAAAAAAAAAAAAAATTTAAGAAAAAAAAGAGGAAAATTTTTTTAATATTTTTTAATTTTTTTTTTTTTTGATTTTTCCGTTACGATAAATTTGTTTGTTGGTTTGTTTGTTTGTTTGTTTGTTTATTAGTTTCCGTTTGTTTTTGTTTGTTTCTCGGGCACGATTTAAAAATAAAAAAAAGGAAAAAAAATAAGAAAAGAAAGGAAAATATATCATATTTAAAAAATTTTTCTTTTTAGATTTTTCCCTTACGGTAAATTTGTTCGTTTGTTTGTTTATCGGTTTGTTGATTTGTTTGTTTGTTTAAAAGGCAATCAAAGGAATCAATAATGTTTTTTTTATTTATTTCAAACTTTTGCGTTGTCATTTATTTATTTATTTTATTTTTTATTTTTTTTTTTTGGAGAGTTTATAAAAAATTAAGTTTTTCCCGTAATTCGTTTTCGTGGTGTAATCCGACGGATGCAATCGATATATCGATAAATCGATCGATCGATCGATCGATTTATCGATCAATCCATTCCGAAATAAATAAATTTTTCCTTTTTTTTTTTTGAAATTTCAAACCGGCCTTATAATCCCCGCATTCCTTCTCCGATTCTCCTATTTTTAAAAAAAACGGGGGGGGGGGGGGGCTAACAAACAACAACAAACGGGGAGGAGGAGGAGAAGTAGGAGGAGGGAAGGAGGGTGTGTGTGCGTAAGAGATAAGAAAATAAATTGCAAGTTACGAATCAATTAATGAATGAAAAAAAAAGAAAGAAAAAGAAAAAAATCGTGATCGGAAGGTGGACGTTTTATATTTAATTATTTTAAAAAAAAATTTTTTTTTTAGTTTTGCCGACTGATTCAAAAAAAAAAAATCATAATAATAATAATAATAATAATGATAATAATATAATTCCATATAATTGTTCTCCACCCTTTGTTCGAAACGTATCATTTTATTTTTTTTTTTTGTTATCCATAAATAAATTCCGATGTTCTCCAGGCTATGATAAAAACAACAACAACCGACCGACCTAGCGTGTGTGTTTGTGTCTTTTTTACGTAATAAATAACGACAGGAATAATAAAATTATCATAATTTTTATCTGGAATACTCCGGGATAAAAAAAAGAGTAGAAATTTCTGGAAAATGAACAACAAACCCTCTTAATAATCTCTTCTTCTGCTGGAGAGAGAAAAAAAAAAAAGAAAATTAAAATTCGTCACACGTATTCGAATGTATTTATTGTCATCGAAGTTGTTTTTTTTTTGTCGTTACGAATAATAATAATAATAATATTTTCTCCAGTACGTAAAAGTTTAAAACCAGAACTAAAAAAATAATAAACGGTTTTGCTGGAGAAAAAAAAAAAAAATTATCATTTCGGGGCACTCCGGAAAATAACATGGAGGGCGCGCCTTTCATTTTTTTTTTTTTAAGATTATTATTATTATGCTATGAAATTTTCTACGAAAAAAAAAAAAAATAACAACGCGGCGGGTTGTTGTTGTCGTACAAACAACAACCACAAAAAAAAAAAGAAAAAAATTTCAATATGGTTTGTAAATCAAATGACGACGACGACGCCCTTATATCGAAATGAATTTGCAAATATTCAAGTCATCTAACAAACATTTTTTCTTTAATAATAATAATAATAATATTTGGTTGTTGTTGTTTGTTGTTGTTCGTTGATTTCTAATTTGTACGGCTCGTTTGTTTTCCTTATCGAATTTATTAGAAAAATTCAATAAAAATAATTTATGAAAGTAAAAAAAAAAAATTTTTTTTTTTTTTTTTTAAATCGTTTGTTGTTTGTTTGTTTGTTTGTTGGTGTTGAGCTTTTGTAAAAAAAATTTAAAAGGAAATTTCAATTGATGACGTCATAAAATTTTAATATTCGAGTGTTTGTCGTTTAAATTTTCTCCTCACTCTGGAGAATAAAAAAAAAAAAAAAACTGATGATAATAATGATGATGATGATGATGATAATAATGATAATAATAATGATGATGATAATGATGATGATGATAATGATAATAATAATGATGATGATGCTTGCGTTTGTCTTGTTTTTTTTATTTTTCAATTAAATCAAAATCTTTTTTTTTTTTTTCAAATTTAATTCCGTTTGTTAATGATGATCATAATAATACTAATAATAATGATAATAGTGAATTTTTCCAGTATCGATCGTTTTGTAGAAAAATCTAAAAAATATTCCAGGTTTTTATTACTTCCGGTAGGAATTTAAGTAAAAAAAATTTCCCATATTAATTTTTTGTTTTTTTCCTTTCACTAACCGGAATCATTTCCGTTTACTTTTCGTTTTTTAAATTTATTATTATTATTATTATTATCATTATTATTATTAATCTGGAAAGCAAAAAAAAAATGATCGTGGTAATAATAATAATAATAATAAACGACGGGGAAAAAGAAAATTTATTATTATTTCCATCGGGAAGTTTTTACGTCGGCTTGAAATTTTTTTTTTTATTTAATAATTTTGTTTGTTGTTGTTGTTGTTTGTTTGTTCTGTTTGTAGTTTACGACATTTTTATTGTTTTAACGGACGATTCATTCATTCCTTGAAATCGATTATAAATCGGGAAAGGAACGGGTAGGGAAGGAACCGTCGGGAGGGAGAAAGAGGAGGAGAAAGAGGAAGAAAGGGGAGGGAGGAGGAGCGCAAGGAAAATTCTAGAAAAAATACACTTAAACATATTATAAAATATTATTATTATTATTATTATTATTAGTACAAAATTTCCGACATAAATATTGATCGTAAAAAAAAAAAAAAAATTTACAAAAAAATAATTATTAAAAAAATCATTCATTGATTGATTGGCTGGAATGCGTCAAATCATTTTTTTTCCCTTTCCCTTCACCTCCCCTTATCTTCCCCTGGATTCCATATCCGTTTCGTACGACACTATTACTACGGCAATGATTAATAATAATAATAATAATAATAATAAATTTTCTTATTTTTGGTAACTAATTTATACTTTTTCGACTATTAAATAATTTATTTACTTATTCATAAATTTAACTGTATGAAAATATTATTATTATCATTATTATTATTATTATTATTATTATTATTATTATTATTATTACAACTACTATCATTTTAAAAAAATAAGACGAGAGAAAAAAAAATGGCAATAATTATTATTATTAATATTAACATTCGTTTCGTACGCGAGAAGGAAGCCCCGAAAAAAAAAAAAAAAAAAAAAAAAATTAAGCAGACGACAAAAAATGACAATTAACTTATTATTATTATTATTATTGTATTTGTTGTTGTCGATAACAACACGTCATAACACGATTGATATGATTTTTTTCCAATTTTTACATAAATAATAATAATAAAACTTGGTAAACGACAAACATTTTCCCGGTTTTTATTATTATTATCTCTATTTTTTTTTTTTTTTACAATAATTGTGACGTTTTTCTTCTCTTCCCCTCCCCTCTATCTATTAAATCTCCCCTTACAATTATTACACAAACGATATACATTTAAATATAATAATAAACACATTTTTAATTTATGCATCATCCCCATCATAATTATTATTATTATTATTTTAAAAAATTAATAAAAATAAATTTTTTTTTTTTGCGTGACGTTGTCACATCGTCTCATACGTCATCAATATTCTTATCTACATACACACACATATATAAATATAATTTTGGCACAATCTTAAATACATTATTTATTTATTTATTTATTTTTTACTTTTTGTTAAAATGGCACAAAAAAAAAAGAAAAATTACAATTTATCTCTCTATACATTTCAAATCAATAATAATAATAATAATAATAATGATAATAATAATAATATTCAAACAGAATGTGACCTTTTTTCTTATGTAAAAAATTTTTTTGTGCTTCGATTATTATTATTTGTCATTTTTCTTTTAAAAAATTATTAGAAAAGGATCAACATGGCACATTTTTTATTTATTTATTTATTAATTTTAAAATAAACATTTCACCGGCATCACTAAATTCAAACTTTTGGTCCCCCAAAAAAAAAAAAAAAAAAAAAACATTGATAACACACACACACACACATACATTTATATATATATATAAAAAAATTTTCATTAGTTTTCCCATTCGATTATGATGCACCACCATCTTTGATGACTCACACTCGATGATAATAATAATAATTTACAGTTTATGATTTTTGTAATCGTTTAAAAAAGTAAGAAAATGAAAAAAAAACTTCCATTTATGATTTTATGTTCGATTTATAATAACTGACCTTGGATGCATATCTCTCATCCAAGATGGTGAGCTATGTTTCATGTATCCCAACCTGCTTTTTGCATATCAATTTGTCCTTCTAATGTTTTAGCCAAATAAATGACAAACAGCTGAAAGTTTTTTTTTTTTTTTTTTTTTTTTTTTTTAAAAAAATTAATTAATTAAATGAATTCATTCAAAAAAAATTTTTTATTTTTTATCATAAAAAAATTTACTTGTGATAAGGCAACTCCTAAAGCCACACCGGCTAAAGTGTAAAGATTTCTTTCTCCCCACGATCGAACACTTTCAATGCATCCCGAAGTCCATATTTTTTTACTCGCTTCTGCAACGCTTAATTCTTGAACTGTGTATCCACACATTATGTTAACTAATCCACTCTGGAATGTTTATAAAATGTTTTAATATATAAAATACTGCAATTCATGAAGGAATAAAATATGAAACTTACAAAAATATTTGTGGCGTTTATGCAACATGAAAATGGTACTCCGCATCCTTCCACGCTTTTAGACGAACAATTAAAGTATTCGTTTTTAGACCAATCAATGTAACCTTCCGAACTCAAACCACAACATTGAAACTAAAAAATTAAATTACAATTATGTGATATGGTTATAAATTAATGTGATTAATAAATAAAATGATTACCTTTTGCTGTGCAAAATCGATAAAATTTTGCAAATCAAGATCTTCTCGGTAACTGTGTATTATTTTATCAGTTAAATTTTCTTCTAGCATGCTGTGTAATGTGTGTGGAAAAACAAATCCTATTACAGCAATGGCCATTTCCAATAGGAAAAATATAAGTAAACAAAGGGAATACTGGAAAAAAAAAAAAAAAAAAATCTTGTTACCCATTTAAGGAAGAAATGACTCGAACAAAATGAATTCATTCTTTTTCTTTTATTTTGGGGAGTACGTACGAATTTTAAAAGACATGTATTTTCTCTAAGTGCACCCACACATCCAGCAAATGATACAATAAAAATAACTCCTCCAGCAATAATTATAACTAAAGAAATGTTTAAAACTATATCGTAGATTGTTTCAACTTTGACCAATCCCGTTGCTTGCCATTTATCAACAAAAGTGTACAATCCAACTCCAATTAGTAATCCTCCTAATAACTGAATAAAACAATAATAAAACACGTTCGTATTGGCAATATTACAAGAGTAAATGAATAAAATTTTTTTTAATTTATTAAACGTACCCAAAAAACAAAATTCAAAAGAAATATCATGTATTTAACACATGGGCTGACATATGTAAAACTATTTCTTCTTCTTCTCCGTGACATTTCGTTAAGCTGTTAACAAATATGACAAAAAAAATTATTTATTTAACTGTATCGTAGTTATATCATTTAAAAACTTTTTAAATAACGTATTGATTTAATTCAACGTAAATATTTATGCAAAGGAAAATTATAAATGATAATTTTTCTTACAAATGATTGCGAAAAAGAAGTTTAAACTACAACAAACTTTTTTACACAAGCAATCGTCAATACTTCATGTTTTTATTACAGTTGCGGCCATGAGGTGAACTAGGACAAAGCCTCCGTGATAAGACAAAAAGCTTTTTTTTTTTTTATGAAAAATTGTGAATAGCGAAGGCTTTTTAACTTAACGACACGAAATTCTAGTAAAGTCCGTTGTAATAATTAATTTTTGGCTTGAGTTATCAATATGAATCTAACATTTGAAAATTGTCATCTTACATTTACGGAATTTTATTTTAAAATGAGAATTATTCTTCTGGAAATGGATATTTGGAAGTTTTAAATGTGACAAAATCTAGGTACAGTGAATAACTCGGATGTTGTTATTGTTTTTCTTCCCTAAATACTTTATAAAGTAAACTTTTTATTTTGTGAGAGAGAAAAAAAAAAAAAAATTTCTTTTTTTTGTTTGTTTTTTTTTACTTTTTTAAATTTACGTTTCTAATTTTTTTAAACATTTGCTTATTCACGAATAGAAATTATTATTTTATATTTTACATTGTGAAAAGTTTTTAATAATTGACATGTATTAGAATTAATTATTATGTCGAACTTGTTGTTTTACGGTCATTAAACATGTCAAACAACGAAAATGAAAATTTGAGGCAACAGAATGCCAAAGTTATTCAGTTGGGCTTTAATATATCAGTGTCGGGGGATCCTGATACTGATCTACAAGTTTTTCTGGATGATAAAATGCAAGAAAGAACAAATCAGTCTAGTAAAAGTGATGAATATAATTCCAAGTTATCAGGTCAGTAGTGGCTTTATTAGTGGTATTATTCCTTGGGTAAACGTGAGTTTACTTCCTTATTAAATGAGATTTTATTCTTATGTCTCACATTAAATTTTCCAGATGATTACAAATTGCAAAAGTCTTTAACATATGAACCAAACCAAGAGACTGAAAAGCCTAACAAAACAACAATCAAAAAAGTTAAATCTACAGATTCGAGCGTTTCTAAATACAGCACTCCTTCTGATCCATTATCGGCACATGAATCAGGTTCTAGTATTTATAAAAATCCTGATTCATCCAGTTATAGAGATACAAGTCTCATAAGTGAAATTAAAAATACTATGGAACATTTTGAAAAGTTTTCAGATCATATAAAAGAAGTTCGAAAGATAAAAAGTGAACCTTTGGCAAGCAGCACACCTTTCTCAGATAGACTAAATTCAAAATCTGAGCCAAGTTTAATTTTTCCTGAAAGAAGAAGGAGAAGGTTCACACATTATTATGATTTTAGCAGCAGCAAAGAAATAATAAAACCTGCGACAAATGATTTGTTTTTAAAACCCCTACCTGGGAAAAGTTTTTATTGTAGAGGTATGTCGAGAAGGTATTACGATTATGAACCTTATAAAATTTATGGTTCTGTCGATAGTTTGTCTAAATCTTGTTACCCGAAAACATTCGACGATTGGAAATCGAGTTTTGATGATGATAAATATGAGGCATCATATGAAAAACCTAGTGGGATATTGAAAAAATTAGATACTGAAAGTGGTGATAAACAAAGTACATCATCAGGAGACAGTGTTCAAGATATTAAAATATATCACAATGGTGGAATTTTAATTATGCAAAATTTTAAAGATAATTTCGATGTTATGGATAAAAAAACTATGAGTGAATACAGCACAAAGTTAATTGAAAATTGTAATCAGTTAAAAAAGGAAATAACAACCTTTCCCGAGGGTTATGATAAATCCATTCCTGGAAATTCATCAGAAGAAAGTAAAACTTCTGGAAAAATGGTTCAGTTTGATTTAATCGGAAGTAATCATTCGAAAAACAAATCAGGATATTCACAAACTTTTACTTATAAGGATGATTCACAGAATAGAAGTGAATCAGGAAGGGATTCATCATTAAAAAATAATGGCTACGGTTTGTTTTTTCGTTCTTCATTTATAAATTTATGTTTTTAAGTTTACATAAATACAATAATTTTTCTTTTTTTTAGATTTGTCAAAATCGGTTTCACAAGGACAAGATTATCCTTCGTTATCGACTCAAGAAAACGATTCGTTAGCATCGAATCCATTGGGAATGTCTCCGGGAGCGAGTAGTAAAAAATTAGAATGGGATAGTGGAGCAGACGTCGGGTATTTGAATTTAGATTTATCTAAAGAAAATTTAAGCACGATAGAAAAAATCGTTTTAAAGGGACTGAGCAGTGATGGAGACATTGAGGAGAAAAATGTTATTTTCGAAAAGAAAATTATAGAAAATTATTCATCGCCGAATGATAATTCTAAAAACGTTATTTTAAAATCTTCGAAAATCAATCAAGAAAATCGAATCAATCAATCTTCGAAAGAAAATCAATTGAAGGAAAAAAAAACAAATTTAGTCATAAGAAATTTAAATTTCGAAAAAATGAAAAATGATTCGAAAAGAAAATGTGAAAATTTGTCGAAAACTTTAGACGGTGAGTTCGAAAATAATTTTTTTATTTTTTTTCTAGAATCTAAGGGCAATGAATGAATCAACAAGTGTGTTTATTTTGTTGTTTGTTCAATTTTAAAATGTCGCTCGACATTTCGACAATTAAACAAACGAAAAATAATTCTTCAAGAGTTTTTATTTAACGTTTTGCTAATTTTAAGTTTTGTATTTTTTAGATGTGAAAAAATCGGGTGAAAATTCTAAAAGACTAAGTAATTCGGCTCCAGTCGAATCGGTTGATAAAGGTATCAGTGTGAATACCTTATTCGATGATGAAAACAACCACGATTTTAAAATCATTCCTGAATCATCTTGTATGACTCAGACAAAAGTAAGATCATCCAAAATATCTCAAAAGGTCAAGAGGTTGAAGAATAAAATAAAGGATCATCAAAGGAATACCAGTTACGGAGTTCATTTAAAGGATATTGCCAGGATTCAATCGCCGGGTAAACAACCCACATCGAAAATGGGCGTGGCAAAAAAAAAAATTCGTCAAAAAAATGAATCGAAACCGGAAATGGAAGAATTGGAACAAAGTCGAGAGGTCGAAGAAATAATTGTAGATCAAGGGTTTAAAGTACTGAAAGAAAATTTACCCGTTTTGAAAAAAGATGATGGCGGAGGAGAGCCGGCGGTGACGAAAAGACCGATTTCCGGGTCTTCGAGTTCGGGTAATACGGTTTTACAAAACGATGAAACTAAGTATAAAAGTCAAGTGGTGCAAACGAACGGATTCGAAATGGAATCGGTCGGCGTTCAAGCTTTTTCATCTCGAAAATCCACAATTCGTAAAGATTCGAAATCCATTACTCGTGCCGAAGAGGAAGAAGAAAAAAAGAAAAGGAAAGCAGAGCACTCGAACGGCGGTCACAGTTCGAAAAACATTCAAGCTTTCGGTATAAATTCATCGTTACCCAGAGAATTGGCTCATCCGAAGGAAAGGATTAATATTAGAGAGAGTCAGAATGAAAAAAGCACTCAATATTTTGGGGGGCCGATCAATTCTTTGCCTAATTATCATTCTCCTCTACAAATAAAACCCATCGAAACATGCGGTAGAGATTTTATACAAAAAAGGAAGATGGGAAGTAAAAAAATGGCATCTCCCGAATCGACGGATTCGAATGGGAAAAGGGAAAAAGACAAAATGGTTAAAAATGGTAAAAAATCGATCGTCGGGACGGATGATTGTAAAGAAAATATTAGGAGCGTCGAAAACAAGGAAAATGTGGCAATGGTTGAAAGAAAAGCGGAAAATTCCACGAAGCAGAAAAATTTGAGCGGTTCCGAACTTACAAAAACGTCACAAATATCAACGAAAAATCAAATCGGAAGCGATTCGGAATTTTACGTGAAAAGTAAAAATAGAAAAAATACGGAAACGAGTTCGACGGGATCCGACAGGATTCTTTCCCTGAAATCGTTGACGAGCGAAATACTCAAAGAACACTACTACGATAGCATCGATAAAAATCTAATACAAGAAAAATATTTTCAAAGTCAACTCGTGGAAATAGAAAAAAGAAAAGTAATGATATCTAAAACCACGTCGGATGATGATGATGATGATGATAAAAAAAAAAAAAAAATATCCGTCACCGTTGGGTGTCAGTATAGTTTACCATCATCGTCAAGGGATGATGATGGTGATGGTAAAAATAACGAAGAAGAAGGAAAAAGTCATGACACGAGTAGCAGTTCAGAAGGTGAGCGAGTTTAAAATTTGCTAATCGTACCGCGATACTCACTAATGCCTTTTTTTCTTAAAATTTTTAAGGGAAAACAATAGAGAAAGAAGATAATATGGCAGACAAAGATGATTTAAACGTTTCGAAAGGTACAAATCGAGAAGGAGACTACGAAACGGGTCAAAGTTCCCCAGGGAGTACAACTCAGACTGCTAACAGTTGGGTACCCGTGCCGGAAGGGAATAATCAACACGTTACAAACGTCGTGGGTAGAACGACGAGTTTCGAGTATCTTCCGGGTAATTATTAAAACTTCTTGAAAAAAGAGGGAGAGAGAGAGAGAGAAGACAATATTTTTCATTTTAGGACACGTTTACGAAAGGAACGGGAACGGGATTGGGAAGAAAATCCCGAAGGATGGGGAAAAAAATACAATTCCGACATCGGAATTGACGTCGTCGTCGGATGACGTAACACGAGAAGAATCGACGGATCGATTGTTTGAAGATGACGACGGAAACGGAAACGGAAACGATGATGATGATAATAATTCAGAAGGTAGAAAAACTTTGGTGTTAGACAATTTGAATGATGACGTTTTATGCGGCGAATCCTCCTTTCCCCTCAAAAATTTGGATGAAAATTTGACGATGTTAAATATCGTCGTGACAAAATTGAAAGAAAAAGATGAACAAATACAAAAAGTTGCCCAAACTCTTTTGGTTAATATAAACGGAAGAGAAAAAAAAAAACAAAAAAATTGCGGAGATGGCGTTGACGATATAGGTAGACATGTTTGTTTGTTTTTTTTTTTTTCATTCTCCGAAGGCTGAATAATAATAATAATAATAATAAAATGGGAGTCGCGAAATATAATAAATATAATGTTTAGCTTTTATGTTTTCATTATTATTTATTATTAATATTATTCAACCGTGAAAAAAAATTTTCCCGAAAAAAAAAAAAAGGGAAAAGGAGGGAATTTTACGGTTGAATGATTTCATTGCTAAAATTTTTCTTTTTTTTTTTTTTTGTCACAAATTGAATATTATGTGACGATTGTTCTGTTCTGTTCTTTTTTTATGTGCGAATTTAAAAAAATATAAAAGTTATAAAAATATGTCGGAAATTTATTATTTATTATTTGAAAGAAGGATTCATTAATAAAATGAATTGTTAAAAGGTCAAAATTCTTTGGATTATTATTATTATTATTATTATTATTTGAGACCTTGAAAAAATTATTAAATAGAGTGAATAATAGAAGAAGAAAGAATAATTGAATGTTCGAGTCAAATTTGTATGTAAATTTTAATACGGTGAAGGTTGTTTAAATTGAATGTACAGGTTTTTACCAGGTTTGCGGTTAAGGTACCGAAGTGGAATAAAAAAGTGTTTTTTTTTTTTTTTGATTTTTAGAATCGAAAGATTATGTGGAAACGGAAAAAATCGTCGTGATTGGTGAAAATGAAAGAGAATTTAATGAGAAGGAAAATGAGAAAAAGAAAATTGAAAAGGAAAGACGTGATGATGATGATGATGATAATGATGATACGTCAGTACCGTGTTGTCAAACAGATGATAAATCTTCGGGTTTTTCGACCGTCGGAAAATATAAAGGAGAAAAAAAAAAATTATCGGAAAATAAAAAAATAACAACAAACGATAAAGAAAATCAAATCAAGTGGATTGAAAAAGAAATTTGTCATTTGAAAATATTAAGAGAGTGAGTGAGAAACATTTTCTTTCCTTTTTTTTTTTTTGTGGTTTCGACGGTTGAAATTGTTTTTTTTTTTTTTTTCCCCTCACAGGCTTCTCGAAAAGCAAAATAATTCTTCTTCTTCTTCTACGGGTCGAAGAAAAAGACGTTCGAATCTCACTCTATTATCAATAAATTCATCATCGAAAAACTATGATAAAAATCATTTGAACTTATCGAAAATGTTTCCTCCACAATCGAAAAATTCTTCGGCCATGGATAAAAATTCGGAGTCGGTGCCGCAAGAATACGAGTTAATTAAAAACGAACCGAATTTCGAAGAAAATGTCAAATACGGTATGACCGTGTCTTTGAGAGGAGGATTGAGAAAAGTCGTTTTGCTTCCCGTCAACGTTCAGGTTTCGTTAAAAGATACGGATATGCGTAAGGAATGGTGAGTGAAAATTCAGTTTTTTTTTTTTTTTCGAACTTACCTCTCGAATAACAATAAAGTGTAAAAAAAAAATTTTTTTTTTTGCAACAGCAGCAACAGCAGCAGCAACAGCGATAAATATAGCATTTACAATCGCGAAAATCGTTGTTCTCTACACAGAAACGTCACGACGATAATGTCGGGTTCGGAAGCGACGGACGCGAAATCGAAACAACCCTACTGGTACGGTAGAGAACATCAAACGGATGTGACGACTCAATATCCGAGCGTAAGAAGAAACGCGGATAATTATCCATCGACATCCGTTCAAATGAATTTTCCATCTCCGAAACAATGCAGGTATTGTTGTCAAAAGAATTGCGTTTGTTTGAATTTAAGCCAATCGGATAAAACGGATGCATCTCAACCGCCCGCCGGTCCGGAACGATACAGAACCCACAACAACAACAACAACAACAACATGTCATCATCATTCGATAGAAAAAAAAGTCTCAAATTGTGTTTCGATAGTTTCGATGAACCTGAAAAAATATCCGTCGAATCGAAAACGGGAATGAAATCCACCGTCACGGATTTCGTAAACTTGGATAATTTTTCAAAGATGAACAATCAATCGAGGTGGCACGATTGCCCCTGCAAAACCCCTCCCTATTCCACGTTTCCCAATTTTCCCAAAAAAAAAACCGCACCGAATTGTGGGTGTTGTTTGATGAGCGAGGAACAAGATGGAACGTCGATCGACGTGAAAAAATCTGCAAAATTTATATGCAACAATCGGTGCGAAGACATTTCGTACATGAATTATTCTAAAACGACCGACGGGAGTCACCGCGAGGAAAGAAAAACACCAAAACGGTGCACGTGTCCCGTCGTCAAAGTACACGGAATGGAATGTAACGTTTCGGACGTCGTCGAAAAAGGAAAAATCCCGTCGGAAAAGGAAAGACGAAAGGAAAATCAAATTTGTCAAACGGATGAAGTCGTGGAGAAAAAAGAAAACGTCGTCAACGATTTGGAAATAATTAAAAAAAAACGGGAAATCGTTTATCCGGCGGAAGTGAAGACTGCCGTCGAAATGAGGAATTCGTCGGAGTACAAATCTCCCGTTTTGGAAAAATTTCCGCGGGAGACGATGTTGAGCGGAAAAACGAGGTCCGATTCATACAATCCGTGCGAAAAAATAATTCGGACGGGATCTTACTCCCCGTGCTCGAAACAGGAACGAGACAACAATTCTTATGCCGACCGAAGAAATAAATGGGAGTCTTACGAGGAACCGGAAGTGAGAAAAAGCGAAAAAGTTTTAAAACACGAAATCGGAGTCAACACGTCCGCGATGGGAAATTGTTGTCGATGTGAAAAAAAGGAGAAAAGATCAAGCGGAAGCGATCATCCGAGACATTATTTTTTAAAAATAGAAGAAACGGAAATGATCGATGATAACGACTCGACGATGGAAAGGAGAAAATCGTTAGAGGTAACCTCACCCAAAAATCGGAATAATGTGTGTGTGTGTGTGTGTGTGCGTGTGCGTGTGCGTGTAAATAATCTATTAATTTTTGTTTTCCAATAGGTTATCACGGTGACGGTGCCTGTGAAAAAAGCAGGTCACGCCAAAATCTACGGTAATCGTTTAAAACAATCGTCCGGAAGTAGATCGAGTAAGCAGACGTCATCGAAGGCTAATAAATCGGACGCGTGTAATTTTTGCGAAGAATGTTTGGGACGAATATGTCGGAAAATAACAGAAGAATGTAAAAATCAAATAATGGAAGAAAGTAAGAAAAAGATAAAATGTGAAAAACTCGAAAGTCGGAGTAAGAAAACGGATTTGGACGTCGTCGAGAACGAGGACGACGACGACGACGACGACGACGAGTACGACGATGCCACCGCCGTCGACAAAAGCGTCGATGGAAATTTCCAGAGAAATTCTTGCGACGACATTCAAGTCATCGCTGATGTTTATTCTCGCGACGCTAAAAATTCATCCCTTAAAAGCAATAATCGTTTGGATCGTTTGAAATCGGATTCGTATTTTGATGCGTCACGTGACTCATACTACTCGCAAAATTCAAAAAGGGAAAGTTTCGATACGGTGCCTTGCAGGGATTACGACGACACATACGTGGACAAAAAATTGACCGAGGATTGCATTTATTTGGGTAAAAATTCAAAGGAAAGCGAGAGGAGTGGGAAAAATTTAGAATTTTACAATGACAAATTGAAAAGTTGCGATTCGTCGTCGTACCCGCAATTCGTCGGTCACGGTTCGGAATCAACGTTTGAAAAACCCGGTTCGAAAATGTACGATTGTTCCTGTTGCGATTGCGATTATTATAATTACGACAAGAGAGAATACAAGACGAAATCCGAATTGAAAAAAGAAGAAGGAGAAAAAAAGAAAAAGAAAAAAGTTCATCAACCTTCTCTAAAGGTAACCGCGAGGTCACAGGGTGTTTTTCTCTCCTTCCCCCTCCCCCCATCGCGAGAATGGATTTTTTCGTAAATGATTTTTTGTATTTTTAGGAATATTTAGAGAGCAACCGTCCGGATTTTTGCAACAGCGCAGAAAACAGACGACGGATAATAACGGAAAGAGCGAGAAACAGAATAAAAAGGCACAACAACAAAATGGAATGTCTTATTAATTTAATTAATCAATGCAGTAAAGTGGATTCGTCAAACGTTCACGGTAGCGGTGAGTTGAAACGATTGATTGATTGATTGATTGATTAGGTTGTATATTACAATTTTTTTTTTTTTTATGATGATCAGGAACGAAACGCATATTCACGACGTCGCAAATGAAAGAGCAAACGATGAAAAAGTATCGTCACCTTCCGGAAGTGACGGGAAAAATAGAAGACAAGAAGAAAAAGGACGAATACAAAACGAATAAACTCATAGCGGACATATTTGCTAAAAAATTGCAGCAGAAAGCTCTCAAAGGTCATGTAAATTTATCTAATAGCATTTCCGTTTTATCCACAATATAAAATTTTAAACGTTCACTCTCTCTCTCTCTCTCTCTCTCTTGGTTGTTCGTTCTAGAACTTTTTTTTTTTAAACGTTTGTCGTCGAGTGGACAAAACACACATCGTTTGTTTGTTTGTATTCATCACGTGGGTTCTTATGTCACATTTACGCGATTCGCGGGCGTACAACGCGACAAACGCGACAAACGAGGGCGTTTTATTATTAAACAAACATTAACAACAATGATTTTATAACAGTTGAAAAATTATATAGAAATTGAAATCTGGAACGGATTAGTTCCAGGGGAGGAGGAGAGGGGGGAGGGGAAGGGGAAGGGGAAAGGAAATTGATTTTTTTTTTTTGGTTGTGAAATTGCGAAACGTCATAAAAATGAAAAAATTGTTATGATAATGATGATAATAATTAATCAATCACACGTTATTACTACTACTAAAGTGCCTTATAAAAGAAAATTTTGCCGACAGCGTCACCGAGATTTTAATCTCCCCCCTCTGCCCCCCCCTCTCTCTTTTTTTCGAAAATGGTCCTTAGTAGAATTTTCATGAGTGACCTCATAATTAAAACGTCTATTCGAATAAGTCACGTCAAAGGTCAAATCGGATAATTTTTTTTTTTTTTTTTTTTTTTTTTACTTTTAAAACTTGTCTTTATTATTATTATTATCATCATCATCATCATCATCACTGTTTTTACAAAGTGATCATTTTTTCGAATGATTTTTGTAAGGGATTAGTGGAAAAAAAGAAAAAAGAAAAACTTTATGTAATAATAATAATAATAAGTATTATCGTCGTCTACGTCATCGCAACCGTCATCATCATCATCATCATCATCATAATTATTATTATTATTATTACGATTATTACTCACGTTTGTTATTACGAGGTAATGATGAGTTATTATTAGAAATTTTTTGTAAAAATTTTTTAATAATATACATGTACGAATTTAAATATTATTATTATTATTATTTATCATTAACATCATTATTATTATTATTGACTTACCTTCATTAATGAATTTAAAAATTTATTTTTATTTTATTTTATTTTTTTGTCTCCAGGATGCTGCACGTGTAAACCTGAAAACCTAAAAAACTAAAAAAAAAAAACAAAAAAACCAAAACAAATAAAAAGCTTAAAAAAAGCTAAAAAGCTAATGATAATAATAATAATGGGAGTCAAGGGAAGGCAACAGAAGAAAATTCATCCAGAGTTCGGTGAGTAGTCATTGATTGATTATTCGTTGATTGAATCTATTCAGTGATAAGCACCCGAGCAGCAGGAGGTTTCAATATAAACTCCTGCGGCACTAGTACTTAGAAGTGAAATAGATTTTCAATTGTATCATCATCATCATCATTACAATTCACATTAGAGACCATTTTTTTTTTTTTTTGAATGTTGGTGACTTTTATTTAAAAAATTTGACCCATAATGAAAAGCTGATAGATTGTTTACTAGATGCAAGGCCATACTAGCAGAACGACCACACTGATTAATATTGATTGACGAGGGATCGTCAAAAAGTATTTTTCATACCCAAATTTCATTACTCTTTGCCAGGAGTAGCAGTAGTACCAACAACAGCATCATAACCAATAATTAACTTTCTTTTAAAATTATTATTATTATTATTATTATTATTATTACTTCCTAAGTAAGGTTCCGAGGGGTAGGAGAGGAGAGGGGAAGGGGAAAAAAAAATTTCATTTTGACATACGTCACGACGTCTCGCTAACTCCAAATTTTAATTAATTAATTAATTAATTAAATTTTTCTTATTCCCGCCCTCCCCCCCACAACAAAATGGCCGACTAATTAATTTAAAAAAAAAGCGTCTGCTGTTACAGATTGATAAATAAATAAAATAAATAAAAAATTTTTTTTTTTTTTTCGTAGAATATTTCGTATATCGAACTCTGTCGACGCGCACGCGCACGCACTCACGCATGTAACGATTAGAAAATTTTTTCGTTTCGTTTGTGATTAGTAATAATAATAATAATAATAATAATAATAATAACAACGATCTGGAACGAAGTTTCCGTTGAGTTTCGATCAATCGATCGATTTTTTTCATCGTTTAGTTAGCATAGGAAACGCAAAAAAAAAAAAAAAAAAGTTCACGTCATAGAGTAGTGATGATCGCGTCATAGAGTAGTAAATAGTTTAAATAAATAAATTCTTTCCAGAACTTTCGGAAATTCTTAAAATATTATTATTATTATTATTAAAATGTTAACGAAATTTTAATCTCCTTCTGTTTTTTTTTTTATTCCTGTCGCGTTAAAAGGTTATCAATAAATAATAATAATAATAATGATGATGATTTTTCCTCGGGAATTATTTTCAAAAAATTATTATTATTATTATTATTAAGTGTATGAGGGCGCGGTTTTCTTTTCCACCGTACTGAACACACGAAATTTAAATCATCATGACTTACGTATTAACAACTGGAGAAGATGAATCGCGTGGGTGGAGTTTTTTTTTCGTTTCTTTCCCTCCTCCCTCCCTCCCCTTTCCTTCCCTCCTCCCCCCGGGAAAAGAAAAATCTCCGACAATTTTTTTCTTACCGCCTTTAATATAATTATTATTATTATTACTTACGACGTCATGAATTAACTCATGCGTTAACGAATTATTATTATTATTTATAAATAATTTTTTACGGTAATAAAATTTCGGTTAAACGTTTCGCTCTCTCGAGTGATACATTTTTTTTTTTGGGGGGGGGAGGGAAAAAATAATAATAATAACGTGGAACGCCTTTTTTTTCTACCGGTAATTAAATATCATCATCATTATCAACACAGTACGTTGTGTTGTAATAATTAATTACGGTGTCTGCGGTCTTAAACCCAAAAATCATTATTATTATTATTATTTTTTTTTTTTTTCTTTAAATCGTCATTATTGATGACGTCATTTTAATTTTACAAAAGGAAAATTTAATTTTTTAAAAAGGTCAACGACACGATCGATGGTATCGATCGTTAGTACGGATTTCGTAGGTATCGATCGATTGACGTTTAAAATAATAATAATAATAATAATAATAATAATTTTATTATCACGTGTCGAAATAATAATAATAATAATGATTATTAATCGTATATGATGAAAAATATGTTTTTATTTACCTTTTGCATTATCATGATGTTGGCGTGTGAGAATCGCTCTGGAATTCTGGAAAATTTCGTCTGTTTCGTTTGCCGCTCGCGTGTATGTGCGTGTGCGTGCGTGTGCGTGCGTGCGTGCGTGCGTGCGATACCCGAATTTCACTTTCTGTTCAAGTCGATCACCAAAAAACAACAGTAACACAAAAAAAAAAAAAATTTCATTTATTTATTTTATTTTGTACGTACGTACGAACGATCACAACTTTAACATTGGTATGAAATGTTTTTGTAGGATTCTCGTGAGTCATAAACTGCCTCTTCCTCTTCATCTTGATTGAGCTAATAAACTCGGCCCACTCCCAATTAATAATATTAACTGCTGAATAACTTCTATTGTATCATTTTAAATTATTTATACACGCATTGAAACTGGAATTTCACGGTTCGCGTGTCCGTAAACGATGATGATAATAATAATAATAATCCACATTGTAATAAGTAAAACATTAATTTAAATGAGCTCTTTTTTTTTTTTTTAATATTCTTCTTCCCATTTATTTAAAACAATCATTGATGATGGCGATGATGATGATGATGACGATGATGATGATGATGATGATAATGATGATTAAGTTTGTGTACGCGGATTGAATTGTTTTTTTTTTTTTGTATTCGCTCGAAAAATTAGCTTCATTAAATTACATATTTGAACTACTCACCATTGACAGCCGAGTCATAAGGGGTCAGAGTTAATGATATATATATATATATATTTTTTTTTTTCGGTTCTGGCATTCGGTGGCATCGTAGTGTTTCGAAAAAAAATCATCATCATCATCATCATCTTCCCCCCTACCTCCCTCACTCACTCTCCCTCCTTCGCGTCCGTCATGCGGGTGAATTTAAAATCCCTTGAATACGGTTATTATTATCCTAATACTTACACGAAGGGGGTTTTATTATTATTATTATTATTATTGTTAATAAATAAATAATGACCGCCGTAGGCTGCCATCCGTACTCTCTTCTTTATTATTATTATTATTATTTGTTAAAAATGGGACAGTTTTTTTTTTTTTTTAATGTCCGTGGGATTTAAATTGTTTGTAAAATAACAAAAGAGAAGGAACGTGTGTCGAATGTATATATGAATCCGTTATTTTTTTTTATCATTGATATTTGATAAGAGTGAATGAATGAATGAATGAATGGATGGATTCGTTATCAGTATTATCGTCCCTGACATTGACGTCATCATACCTGGATATTGATAACCGATTATTTAAATCGTACCTGTCGAATTGAAATCCATTTTTTTTTTTTTTTTTTTTTCGAAAAAGGAAATTAATTAAACTTCCCGGAAAATTTTATTTATAATAATAATAATAATAATAATTATTAAAATTTTTAATGTTAGTTAATATTATTATTCTTTGCGGTGGTGAATGACATGTCGGGGGTTGGGGGAGGCGGGGAATCGCAGTAAAAAAAAAAAAAAAAAAAAAAAACAAATTAAATCTCGACGAATTTTTTTATAAACATTTATTTATAAACATAAAAATGAATAGAGAGGGAGGGAAGGTGGAGGGGGGAGGGGAGGGATAAAGAGAGGAACGAGAGTAGGATAAAAAAAAAAAAATTTTTTTTATATTCATTGAACTTCCTTATTAACGCGAACAATTTATTAATAAAGAAGTGGATTTCATTTAAAGTAATAATAATAATAATAATAAAAGTGATTTTTTTTATTTAATCTCTCTCTCTCTCTTTCTCTCTCTCTCTCTCTCTCTCACTTTTTCCATTGGCGTGAATGTTCTCGAACGGAAAATATTCATACGTGATTCGATTCTTCTTCTCCTCGCAGTTAGCAAATCTTTACGAAAATGGCAACATTCATCATCATCATCATCATCATGGTCGGGGATCTCGTAATGGCGGAAAATTCTTTGTTGTTGATATTAATGGGGGCTCAAGTTGTGAACGTAATAACTGGCAATTCTGTTTTTTCATGCCTGTTAGAACGGTCACAAATCAAAACCCCAAATTTTTACAAAAAAAAATTTTTTTTTTCTTCCTCTCAGTAACCCTGAAAAACAAACGTTATTATTATTATTATTATTATTATTATTATTATTATCATTATTAATACACCGTCGTTTATATAAAAGGATTTTTATTTAATAAATTAATTTAAAGCAATCAAATGTGCGTGAGAGAGAGAGAGAGAGAGAGAGAATACAAAAGATATTATTTAAATTGCATTACGTATACGATCGAAAGATATTAGAACCAACCAATTATCCATTTAACGGTAATTGTGTGCCAACACGCACTTACGCACTCACGCACGCACTCACGCAACAGCATCCGAAGATGCTGCGGTCCTTTTACGATTCAATTATTCGATTGATGATGATTTCTTCCGGCGTTTTTAAAATTGAAAAAAATTTTTTTTTTTTTTTTTCGTTACGACGGTGATTCCCCGACTCCGTAGAAAATTTAACTGAAATTTTTTTTTTTTTTTTTTTTTTTTTTCAGGTGCATTAATTAATTAAAAACCTTTTGTTTGTTTTACCTTGAACGCAATTTAAAACTTTTGTACCTGATGTTGTTGCTGTTGCTGTTGCTGCTGCTGTTGCTCCTCCTTCTCCTGTTGTCGCAAATTAAATTTAATGTGTGTTTGTTTTTACCCGCTCGAACGATTTCCACATCACTTGTTTTTTTTTTTTTTTTTTGTGTTTAAAATAATAATAATAATAATAATAGACGCGACCTGTTTTTTTATAAACACGTTCGAATCGATTCAAGCAGAAGACGAATTTTTTTTTTTTTTTTCATTTCATTTCGATACGATTCGATTTTGTTCTTTGAGCGAAAAAAAAAATTTGACGATATAACGAATTTCGAAAAATTTAAAAAAAATTTTTTTTTATTCGATTAATCGATCGATCGATCGTTCGATATCAAAATCGAATCGTTATTCTTTTCATTCTTACGTAAAATATTTATTAATGATAATAATAATAATAAATTTTTTAAAAAAAATTGAATGAAAATAATAAATTACCGGTTTAGATTTTTCACTTTCGATTATTTAATTTATATTATTATTATTATTATTGTTATAAATAAAAAAAATAGTTTAAATATTATTATTATTATTATTATTATTATTATTATTATTATTATTATTATTATTATTATTATATAATAAAATTAAAAATTTCACGCGAACGAGCACGCACGCGCACGCACACACGCTTGAAAAAAATATATAAAAAAAATTATCAGAGCGTCGAATTCTTTATAATGGCGTTTAAATAAAAAAAATTTCCAAACGTTATCGGGAGAAGAAAAAGAAATAATAATAATAATAATAATAATAATAATAATAATAATAATAATAATAATAATAATAATGATGACGATATTATAAATAGCACCACCGAAATTCTAGCATTTATCCCTAAGGAATCGTCGTCGGGTAGAAACCTGGAATAAATGCGTAAAAACCCTGACAAATAAGAACCTTGTCGTGTTTAAGAGTGACCATAATAATACTAATAATAATAATATTAATATTAATATTAACGAGAGAAAAAAGAAAAAAAAATTACCTCACTCACCTGTGCGTAGATTCAATAAAAGAGATAAAAGAAGAAGAAGAAGACGAACAACAACAACAACAACAACATCCGCATGAGTTGTTGCTAAATCTAGATCACAAGATTTGAAAAAAAACACTTTATGAATATTTACTAATTAATTATTCATTATAGAAAAAAAAAAAAAAACACACACACACACTCACACGCACGCATAAACACACGCACTCACACGCACGCATAAACACACGCACTCACACACGTACGCACAAATTTTCTTTTGTTTCATCTAAAAAAGAAAAAGGCGAAGATTTTTTATTAGGGGGAAAAAAAAGGAAAATTGATCGAATAATAATTTTTTTATTTTCTAGCGACACGACGAAATACTTCGGAAAATGAGGAAAATTTATTAATTTTCTTTTCTTTTTTTAGCTTTAACGGTGCGTGTGTGGTGAGAAAATATAAATATTATCACGAATGATAATTTTAATTTAAAAAAAAAAAAAAAAAAATTGCGGACGATGGATTTGATCTCCTACACCCCCACACGATACGCAGCATTCCTCCGGATCCGGGGGGGGGGGGGTTTCTTATATGTAAATTACCATGGGAAAAAATTTCGTATGGAATAAACGAATGACATAAACACACACGCACAAAATAATAAGAAGAAGAGATACATTTTTTTTTTCTTTTCTAATTATTATTATTATTATTATTATTGTCTGTTGTTTGTTGTCGTTTGTTTTATTTATCGTTGTCATTAATTAAGGACTATTGAATGATATGTGAAAATGTAAAAAAGGTGAGGTTGAAACAGTTGTTGTTGTTGTTGTTACATCGCATTATATGCCACCTCACAGATACCTCGTGTAACGATAATAATAATAATAATGATAATAATAATAATGATAAAGATTTCGTTTCATTCTTACGAGAATTTTTTTTAAATCACGTTTTTTTTTTTTTTTTAATTAATTTTTTTATAAATAGAAAATTTTAATGGTTTCTTTTTTTTAATGGCGTCGATTTTAATAATTTATTTATTTTATTTAAAATGAGGGGAAAAAAGAAATTAATTTAATGACGTAAACAATCAAATAATAATAATTATAAAAAAATGGTTTGTTTTTTGATTACGTCACGGATGACGTAACGTAATCGGTTGCGTAAAGAAACGCGTCGGTCGTTATTATAACGAACGTTGGTAAAACTTTTACGCGCCATTTTTGTACGTATACGTGTTCTATTACCACGACACTCGTCTTCTGCTTTGTTGTTATATCGAATATTATAGACCAACGTATTATTTTTAAGTTTTGTGTTTTTTTTTCACGAATGATTTTATGATTTATTAATATCGTCGCAGGTTATTGTAAATAAATTAAGGTTTGATATATTTCGATGATTTGATTAATCGTAATTATGCCAACGAGAGCTGAATTGCCACTTCAAGATATTGCATTTTCCGAATCCAACAGCTGGACGGATGCATTACCAGTTTGTAGAGAATCTGCTGTCGGTTCATCGATAAATCAAATTTATAGAGAAGATGGAAATCGACAGGTGAGAGAATAACGTTATATACCTTATTATCATTATTATTAATTCGAAGGGAATAGTTTGAAGGTTATAAGAGAGAGAGAGAGAGAGAAAGAGAATTTGTGACAATTCGTTGGAATTTTATAATTTATAAAAGAAAACAAGTTGAAAATTGTTTATACATTTCTTCTAAGGTTTATTTAAAATACATTATTTATAAAAATTTAAAAAATAAAAAGGTCAAATTAAATAAAATTATTGTACATTACTTTCAGATGAAACATCACAATCGATGAGTTTTTTTTTTTTTCAATTTTTTTTGTAATATTTCTTTTTTTCATTCTACTTCGACAAAACATTCGAGATTGATATTTATTTACATAAAGTGAAAATAAAGATTGTATAGATCATGTGACATTTTGTTCCAAATCTTTATGTTTTCTACTTATTATCATATATTCTATAATCCAAGCGATGGCACATAAAAGTATAAGTACATTTTGTACGTGAATGCAAAGAGGGTAACTGTTTGTTAAATCCCTCACCAATCCTAAAACAATCAATCAATCAATCAATTAATTGGATTACTGTACATAATTATAATTTTTTAATAATTGTTTATAGATGAACCAGTTTTATGAATTCGAGAGAGGGGGAAAAATAAAAAAGTTATGGAAGATAAATATGTATTTACCTATTAAAGGACCGATTGTTATTAGAAAAATACCCTTTGCGACCATGTGAATACCTAATGCCGCTGGAAGTTTGTTTAATTTGTTGTCGCAATATTCAGGTATAACCAACATGAAATTAATTAATGTGGCTCCTCTGAAAAATCCACTTATAATTAATATAGTTTCAAGTTTGATCCATTCGTGAGTTTCTGCCAATGCTGAAATGATTTTATTTTATTTCGATAAAGTGTTTTTAACAATATTATCATCATCATCATCATCATCATTTTTAAATTCCTTTAGGTTAAGAGTACTACTACCTGATCTTGATAAACCGCAACAAATGGCGGCAATTAAAAAGGACGTCCTTCTTGAAATTTTAAGTTTGTCACATATCGGAGGCAATATTAATCTCGCGGCAATGTCGCTCGCCGCCATCATGGATAAACAAAAAGCCATTTCGGATTTTGTGTGACCCAAATCCGCGAGGAAAAAAGGTACGATCATTTTAAAATTGGATTCGGCGACGTAAAAAATCGACACGCCAAATAATAAATTAAGATAAATGGGATCTTTGAGCAAATCGAAATCCATGAATGCGGAAAATTTTTGCCAAAATGTTGTTTTTTTCTCATTTTTATTTTTTCCCACGGATTCTTGATCGGTTTCTTTTGTCTTATCAAAATAAACACCCTCGTCTTTCAATTCGTTTTCGATCTGAACAAAAGGAAAAGGGTTGTATATTTTTTTTTTTTTTTTTAATTTACCGACATGTTTTATTTACTTACAGCGTGAAGATATAAATAACTCCCACTGTAATCTAAACTCGATAAATTGGATATGGTTGAAATTTTTCTTTTTCTCATCATCGTTGTCGTTCCGTTCGATGGAATTTGTAAATGATTATTAAAATCTTGATTGCTCTTGTTCATGCTCACGGATGACGTATTGTACCTCATACCTGGACTTTCGTACCAATGCCGTCTGTGATGCGATCTTCCACCCACTCCTCCGATGTTTTCATCGAAATACCTATCGAATTTAACTTCTGTCGATGATTTATTTAATGGTTTCTGTATGAAGTAAGATGATTGTTCTTCTAAAAGGGAATCACGATTCGACTCTGGAACAACACAGACAATACATTGGAAAAGCGTGAAAACCACCACTGCTACTACTACATCGGGTTCATCGAACCTTTATCGGTGAGTGAAAATTTTCTGTAGGGTTTTGGCAAATAAAATCTCGGACGAAATTCCGATACTCGTCTCGTTGGAATTTTATTATCATCCGTTGGTTTTGTTTCTTGGGATTCCACGGATAAAACGCTTATTTGTGCGTTGCTCACGTATTTGTTGTTTGTGTCGTCGTCGTCGTCGCCATGTTCGAAATCATCTTGTTCTTCTTCTTCGATCGTGTTTTCAATCGTTATTTGCGGCGGATACGTTGAAAATCCCGATTGAGATTTCGTTTCTGAATTTTGTCTACTCAATGGAATTTTTTTTCCTTCTTCGTTCTGGAACAAGATGAAGAAGAAATAAAATGGAAAAGGAATTCATACGGAAAATTTAAAAAAAAAAAAAAAAATGAGTTCGTTACGTTTAGAATTTCTTCTGCTTCTTCATCATCTTCAATCTTTTTCAAATGCCATTTGTAAGGTTGAAGAACGGCAGAACCGACGCATGCGTTAAGTGCAAAAGCACCAATTATGAGTATCGAACCTGCGAAATCGTATTCTTCCGTTAAATATCTGAAAATTAAACCAAGGAAGAATTGTTCGGCAAATAATTTTTTTTTTTTTTTCTTATTTTTGTCGAATTGCGGGTTTTGTTATTTAAACGAATAATAAGTTGTTGAGGGCATTGAAATTTTCGCAAGTTTACCTTATGGCTTGAGGCATCAGAAGAAGTCCCAATCCGGTTCCCGTCATTGCTATGCCCACGGCTTGACCTCGTTTTTCTTTGAAGTAATAATTAATGGAAACAAAAGTTGCAGACGATGAAAATCCAACACCCAAACCTGAAGCGTAAGGGAAAAAAGCGTTCAAAAACAAAATGGAAGAATCATGGACACGTGGAAATTTCATTACGGAGGAAAAGGAGAAACCGACCTACGACTATGCTATACGTTATGAGTATGTGAGCCATGGAATAGGCTGGAAATGTCGATATCAAACCCAAAGATGTGAGAATGGAACCGAGGAAAGCAATTTTACGATACGAATATGATTTAATCAAAGGTCCGACGAAAATCCCGCTGAAATTAACAATGGCTTCATACGTGCTGAATATTATACCGGCTCCAGTCGTGGCTATAGACAGTTCTTGAAGAAGACTTCCGAAAAGGAGTCCGAAAGAAGGTTCCAAAGACCTCGTGGAAAACTGTATGGGAAGGAGGGAAAAAAAAAAAAAAAAAAAAAAATTATTTATTTATGATAATTCGTTCATTGTTTCCATTCATGTTAAACCGTCGGTCGAGACCTTATCAATTGTTAACAAAAAAAAAAAAAACAATCAGTGACTGACTTTTCATTCAAAATGGCGGATCTGAAATCGATACAAAAAAAAAAATGTCAAAGATGCCTGCGTGAGTGCGTGCGCGTGAATTTCTAAAAGAAAACTTTTTGAGATGAGAAACAAAAACAATCGTTCGTCGAGTTTAAATTAATCGATTATTACATATCGAAATTGCCGTATCGATCATCCCCCACCCTCCCCCTCTCCCTCCCCCTGCTGTTTTTAGTGTCATTATCGTGTCACAAGAAAAAAAAAAAAAAAATGAAAACCGGTTAAAAGTCGACACAATTAAGTCGAATTTTATTATTAATGATGAGGGTTTTAAATAATTCAAACATCGAATCGAAGAGGGGATGGGGAGGGTGCGTGCGCGTGTTTAAAATCAACCCCTTTGAATATCACCCGCCCCCCCCTCCGACACCATCATGCCCTTATCATTTTTTTAACCCTCTCTCGTTATTATTATTTATTTATTTATTTACATACATTAATGTTTTCATTTTTTTTTGTCTGATCTCGTCGTTTTCGTGACGTCATCATGTCGATGTTTAAATTGATTGTCGATCATCGTCGTGACGTCACGCGTTTCCCCATAATGATGATGATGATGATGATGATGATGAAACGAAAATTCATTATTTCGTCAATTAATGATTTCGTTTTATTTTATTTTATTTTTTTTCATAAATTAGTCGACAGTTTGTTTGTTTGTTTGTTTCAGTCGTTTGACAAAAAAATCCTTCGATGAGAAATAAGACGGACATAAACACGTATAAAATTATTATTATTATTATTATTATTTATGTTTTTATTTGTTGTTTCGTTTGTGTTTTTATTATCATTATTATTATTATTATTATTATTATTATTGAATGTTAGTCGTGTCAAGGTTCAATTCTCTCTCTCTCTCTCTCAATGTGTATGTATGTGTGTAGTGTAATCGATAAAACGTTCGTTTGCCGTTCATTGATTTGTTTTTCTCTGTTTGTCATTTCATTTTTAATTGTGAAACATAAAAAAAAAAAAATGAAAGGAAACGAAAGAAAGAAAGAAAGAAAGATTTTGTTTGTTTGTCGAACAAACGGTTCGTTCGAACTTGTTCGATTCTATTTTTTTTTTCCGACAAACAAACAAACGAACGAACAAACGAATGCACGTGCGTGCGTGCGTTTTTCCTCTTTCTCTCTCTCTCATTTTAATTATTATCATTATTGTTGCGAATTTGTTAATTTTTGTCAAAATGGCCGAGAATGTCATTAACAAGTATTAATTATTATTATTATTATCGCGTTTAAAACATTTGATGGCATTTTTAAAACATCATTCGTTGGTTTTTTGTTTAATTACTTACGTTCACGAGACCGACACCGAGTACTACGATCCATCCCCAACCCCCATCAGGTGGTACCAACTTTTCTTTTTTCTTTTCCGAATTTTCTTTCGTCATTATTTTGTCAAAACGAATAAAATTTCACTCACTTATTATTTCGATTTTATGATAATACCCCCCCGATGATTTCCGACGGTTAACGATTTTTCCTATTTTTTCCTATTTTTCCCCCCACTAAAATTAAAAGTTTTCTTTTTAAAAATTTCTTTTAATCATTTTTTTTTTTTTTATTTACACACGGACCGGGAACACTTATTAAAAATAAATAAATAAATAAAATTGATCGATAATAACTTTAATAATAATAATAATAATAAATTAAACGCGAGTTTTATAATTGATCGCCGGAAAACTGGTAAATTGTTAATATTAATAATAATAATAATAATAAAATTATGCGTTCTTCGGCAGGGCCACGCGACGTTTTTTGCGCATGCTCGATCATGGACGTGGACGCGGTGGTGATTTCGGTTCGTCGGACAAACCTGAAAAAATCGTAATATATTCGCAAAATACCGCCTATGATAATAATAATGATAATAGTAGTAGTAGTAAGGTATATTTTTTATTAGATTTGGGGGAGGGGGAGGGAAGGAGGGAGGGGGAAATGAAAGAACGTCGTTCGTCCGCGTCACGGTCACGTTTTGACCATTCGCAACGTAAAAAATATTGTAAACGGTTCCTTCTCGCGGCCAAATATTATTATTATTATTAATATTATTCGGGAATAATCGATGACGTTTTAAAAAAAAATAATTATCAGGGACGTTTTAAGGATTTAGATGATGATGATGATGATGATGAAAAAAAAAAAATAAAAATTTAAATAGTTCGACGAAACGATCAAACGTCAAGTTCGGGTGATTTCAGGTTTTGCTAGTTTTTTTTTTTTTTTCTAAAAATTAATTAATTAATAATTGAGAGAGAGAGAGAGAGAGAGAGAAAAAGAGAGAGTGCGTGTGTGTGTGATGAAAATTTACACGTCTCTCTCCCTCTCCCCCCTCCCCCATCTCTCCTGATCCCCCATCAGCCTGATTAAAAAAAATTTTTTTCGTTTGTTGTTTTTCGGTCAAAAAACTTTTTTTTTTTTTTTTTGGAAATTTCTCGATGGCGAAACACTCGAAATATAATCGAAAAAGTAATAATAATAATAATAATAGTAATAATAGTAATAATAATAATTAACGAAAGAGAGAGAGAGATAGAATTTATCATTTCGGTGACATTTTTTTTAACGATGAAAAAAATATTCTCGTTTTGATTAATTAATCTCGATGGGATTTAAACCCGAAGGAAATTGTTTTTATTTTTTTTTTTCTGTTATCACTATTATCAGTGTTTTTTCGTAGTATTATTATTATCATTATCATTATTATTATTATTATTATTAATTTTCGAATACGGAAAAGACTCACAAGGTTTTTGGTTCGTTTTTAGGGAGGGTAAATGGTAAAGAGAGAGAGAAAAAAATTTTTTCAAATCGATTTGAAATGTTCGTTCGTTCGTTCGTTCGTTTATTATTATTATTATTATTATTATCGATGAGTTTTTGCCGTTCACGTGGTCGACTAATGATGATGATGATGATGATGATGATGATTCGTTCATTTATTTTAATAAAAAAAAAAAAAAAAAAAAAAAAATGCAAACTTTGCCCTTTATCCGAGAACACAATGGAAAAAAAAAAAACATTCGTACGAGGGGGGAAGGAGGAAGGGGAGGGAAGAAGGGAGAAGGGGAGAACGGTGGGGGGTGGGGGCGGGGAAACGTGGAAAATGATGAAATCGAAATTTTATTTTAAAAAAAAAAAAAAATGAATGATGATGATGATGACGTAATTCGTCAATAGCTGACGCGCGTGAGAATTTAATTGGAATGAAAGGGAAAAAAAATATGATAATAATAATAATTTTTTTTTTGACCGATTAATAATAATAATAATAATAATAATAATAATAATAATAATAATAATAATGTAAAACTGGACGTAGATTATAATTAAATGGAAGCCTATTACGACGACGACGAATCGGCCTTCGTAAATTAATTTTTTTTTTCGTGTGCCAATTTTGAAGGAATGTTTTTTTTTTCGAAAACAAAGTCTCCCCTCCCCCTCCCCCTCCCTTTCTCCTCCTCGAACGAAAATTTTTGTGTGTGTTTTTTAGGGCAGAAAAACAAGAAAATTTTCAAGGAACTAAAATGGAAATTTTTTTTTTTTTTTTTTCAATTTACTTGCAAATTTTTTTTTTTTTAAATATCCTCAGGGGGGTTGAAAAAATAATTAATTTCCTCAAGGGTTGATGGACGAGTTTTTTTTTCTTTTACGTATGAAAAATGGCAAGGATTTGACCTTTCGATAAAAAAGGGGGGCAAGAGTTCTTTTGGAAAAATGAATTCCCTATTAATCCATTTTGTTTTTTCTTTTGTTTTTCGGTACGTGAACAAACAAACAAACAAACAGGAAGCTCATCCATACGAAGATTTTAGTTTTCACGTGAAAGTCGAACACGATAAAAGTCGCGACACTTATTTGTATGGCGTCTTCGACGGTGACGAAGGATCTCAAGCAGCTAATTTTGCTCTACAAAGAATAGCAGCTGAAATTTTATTGGATAATCAATTGTTGGATGCGACGACCGACGAAGAAGTTAAAGAAAAACTCAGGTACGAAAACGAAAAGGCAGAAAAACTCGGGATTATTTTATTACGTCACGATTTTTTTTTTTTTTGCAAAAAAAAAAAAAGTTCAAAGTCTACCTAGATCGACCGTTTTCCGGTTTTTAAAAATTCATTCCCCTCAATAGGTTTCAGGTAGTTTTTTTTTTTTTTTTTTGAGATTAAATTCTAAACAAAGGATTTTTTTTTGTTCAGAAGCGAATCTAAAACGTTCAGAACGTTATGACTTTACGGGTAATAAAATTAAAATGGAAGATTTTTGTACTGGAACGTAATAAGAAAAAGTTTTGCACAACCGCCAGACAAACGGATTTAATTAATTATTATTATTATTATTAATTTGTTTGTGTTTGAAATGTGTGGGGGTTCGATGTTCTAATTCGCAAAATCCCAAAGGATTGTTCATTCATTCACTAATTTGTTCGTTCATTTATTTTCCAGGCAAGCTTTTCTCGCTGTCGAAAACAGTTATTGGGATTCCGTGGGAGACAAATTAGCAGAAAGAACGAGCGTTCAATACGAAATACCGGATGATTTGACTTCGTACGAGGCTTATCAGAAATATCCTCACCTTGTTGATAAATTAAATTCCTTAAACACGGAATTATCTTCCGGTAAGGGAAATTATTTTGAAAAATTGCGAATTATAACAATTGTGTTTTAATTTTTATGACAAATTCCAATTTAAGGGGGGGGGGAGGGAGAGGGTCGGGTGAGTTTTAGGATAAAACCTCAAGTTGACGATCTCAACGTTAGATTTTACAAAAGGGGATCGGGATCAAACAGAAGGTAAAGCAAATGTTTGTAAACAAAACAAAAATTAAATGGTCGTCTTGATAGTTTCGAATTTTTCCCACAGATGGCAGTGTTGTCAATTTTTAAATTACCAAATTAATTTTTTTCAATTTTAATTAACATTTATTGATATTTATTAAAATTATTTTATTAAATTTTTCAAAACCGATAATAATAATAATGATGAAAATAATCCCGAAGGAAAATTCGTACGGAAAATAAAAATAAAAGGAAAGAAAAGTCGAAGGGTGTTAGCGGATGAATTAACGAATGTTTTCAACGTGATGACGAGAGTGCGGATGAAAAAGCATACTTACCTGGCGTAGGGGCTACCGTGATCATGAAGGCGGTTCCCCCGGGACGAGGCCTTACCATTGCACTTCGGTTTGGTTGACTCCTGCGAATGCCCCAAATGTGGGCATCTCGGGCGCGTAATTTTTGGTAGTCGGGACTGCGTTCGCGCTCTCCCGGTATTTAATAACTCAAACATAGTCGACCCTCCCCCTCTCCTGAGAATGTGGCATTGTAATCTCGTGCTGCATACCTCTCTCCGCTCCTCTACTCCTGATAATGACCGTCGGCACTTCGCGATTGCGAGTCCTCTCGGTTACCTCTTAATACCCTTCACGTGGATGGTGTCACATTGTGATGCTGCCACGTGCGTCATCTCATCATTGATGCTTTATCATTCGAAATTTATGGAATTTTGTGTTGACGATCCCGAGTACGTGAGGTGCAAATTTCAAGGTTTATAGTACCGACCGCCGTCGGATGTAATTGTCACCTTGACTGTATTCTGGGAAATATTATTATTATCATCAAGGTGTTTGTTTTTGTTTTTTAGGTACCACAGCCGTCGTGGCTCTCATACATAATGGTAAACTTTACGTTGCGAACGTTGGAGATAGTAGAGCTTTGCTATGCAAAACGGATGATAACGGAGTGTTGAAAGTGATACAATTATCCGTCGATCACGATTTAAGAAACGAAGATGAACTTTTGAGAATGTATAAGCTCGGATTAAACGTGGATGAAATAAGGAAAAGTAAGGATGGGGAGAGGGGAAGGAGGGGAAATGGGTTTCCGGTTTTCGGCTCACGTTTTGAATGTTTTCAGGATCGAGGATAGGGAATCAGGAAACGACGCGTTGCATAGGTAATTATTTAGTCAAGGGCGGTTATAAAGATTTTGAAGATTTGGCGGCGGCATGTGGGGAACCCGTGATAGCAGAGCCCGAAGTTCACGGTGGGATACCCATAGACGAAGCGAGTAGTTTTTTACTTTTAATGTCGGACGGTTTGTACAAAAGCCTGCAAGAAGCGACGGGATGCGTGGAGTCTGTCAATAAAGAAATTGCTCAAATAGCCGTCGAACAAGTATGTGGAGCCATTTTCTCTCCCCCTCTCTCTCTCTCTTTCTCCTTTCTGATAATCTATTTGATTCAGTTTAGAATACAGTCGACTTTGACTGGAGTCGCACAAGGAGTCGTAGATAAAATCGTTAGGATACATCACGATGTTTTCATGAGCGGTACGGCGGCCATACCGAGTGGAAAACGCGACGACATGACGCTTCTCGTACGAAATTTCAATTATCCAATGCCGAACGCATTGAACAGTCCGACGAATCCTCACGTGAGGTACGAAAAGTTCGATCAGAAGGGAGGGGAGAAGGAGGAAGAAAATGTTATTTCTTTTTTTTTTGTTTAAGGTTTAATCCGGTCGTGGAAACAGCACCACCGCCGCCCATTAATTACGGATCATCGAATAATGAAGATAACGAATCGGAAATGGTTACCAATGATGACATTGATGATGGCAGAAGAGATACTCAGGATACTTCGACGACGGACAGCAGTGACGTATACCCAGGTTCTTTTTTTTTTAAAAATATTTTCTCCGGTTTTTTCTCGGGTCATAGGTCATGAACATTCGTATGTATATTGATTGTTTCAGAAGAAAACGTTTTGAAACGAAACGAAAGGATCAAACCTTACGTCGATTTCGCGGAATTTTACGAAAATTTCGAAAAGGCAAAATCGAACAATACTTTGCCGCCATCTTTGATGCCTCAAGAATGATCTACCTCACATTTTGAATATCTTTTTTGCGATTATTACGTCATCATTGATAAGAATTCAAGTAACGGAAGAAATTTTTTACGCTTTTTCATTGCCTTAGAACCGTGCAAACAATTTAAATTTTTTATTTGTATTCATTTACTATATATTTTATTATTATCATTATTATTATTATTAATTAATTAATTAATTAAAAACTTTTTTTTTCATTAATAATTGAATTAATTGTCCAGTCGGTTTATTAATTAATTTATAATTTGATAATTGAAAAAAAAAAAAAAAAAATTAAACGTAAACGACGGGTTAATAAACAAACGCGCCAAAAGTAATAGAGTAATTAAAAATGGATTGTCGTGGCAGGAGACTAACGAAAATCAACGTACATGAGTTGATCGTAGCAGAACTTATATATATATGTATATATATTTTTTTAATTTGTAAGTATTAATGTTCCGTTATGAAATTTTATTATTGAGAATCGAAAGTGATTTATCGTAATAATAATAATAATAATAATTTAACGTTAATGTCAGTTATTTTAAAATAATTGACAAATAAAATATTTTTTTTAACAGTAAAAATCCGGTGTTTTTATATATATATATATGTTAGATTCAAATGGGAAAATTGAAAACGTTCATTGACTTGAATGGATTGTTTAAGTATGTTTATAGAAAGAAATAAAACATGTCAGGGTAACTTTTTTATAATAATATGTTTTCAATAATTTGCCTTATTGATAATTATCTTAGATAATTTGTTGAATATTTGAATAAAATCACGTTTTTTTTTTTTTTTTTTAATTTTTGAATCACACTTGAGCTTTTATTTGTTTTTACCAATCATAAGATTATATTTTAAAAAAAGGGGGTTTTTTGTTGTTGTTAAATTTCAGATTATTATGTCGAGTTTAGTAAGTGCAGTTCAAATATCAAAATATTTTACAAGAGATGTTTTCGAAAAGAGTAAATCAGTAGCAAATGTAATGTTTCAAAAATATCTTTTAATAACAAATGTCGGAATTTCTGCATCGCTATCATTTGCTGGCGATGTCATACAACAATATTACGAAATGTTACAAGACGACACGAGAAATTGGGACAAGGGAAGAACTTTTCGTATGACAATAGCTGGCATCACTGTCGGTTTTGTTTGTCATTACTGGTATCAGTACCTTGAAAAATGTTTACCTGGAAGATCGTTAAAAAATGTTTTCAAAAAAGTTACACTTGATCAATTAATCGGTTCACCATTGTACATAACTGTTTTTTTCGCGACAACTTGCACATTGGAAAAAAGAAATTTTGAAGAATTCAAACGTGAAATTATTCAAAAATGGTGGCGTCTTTATATTGCCGAATGGATCATTTGGCCTCCAGCTCAAGTTATTAATTTTTATTTTATTCCATTTAAATACAGAGTTTTATATGACAACACAATTTCATTGGGTTACGATGTTTACACATCATATGTTAAAAATGAAATATCTCTTAATGAAATCGATGACAATAACGATGAAAAAACTAATAATAATAATAATAATAATGTAAACGATGACTTTAGTAATGTGAACAGTAATAATAATAATAATAATAATAATAAATTAAACGATGAGAGAAAATAATAATAATAATTATCGATGACATAGTAATAATTTATTAAATAAATGTGATATGAATAGGAAAAAAAAAAAAAAAAGTAATAATTAAAAATTTCTAGGCTGGCCTAGTTTTTTTCTTCTCTTTCTTTTTTTATGTAATATATATATAATATAAAACTCTTGTTCATTATTATTATTATTATTATTATTATTATATCGCAGGGTTAAAAAGGTGGTGCTAAAAAAAATTAGAATTTTTTATGTAATTACATTATGATGATAAATGATTGCGATATAAAAATTTAATTAAATTGAATGAATTTATTTAATTAATGATTTATAAAAAAATCGTGTAAATAAATTCTGACGTAAAAAAAAAAATATATATATTTTAATAAGTCATAATCAAATTTAATAATTTTTTTTTTTTTTTTGCAATTTAAATCACTTTAATGTTAATAATAATAATAATAATAATAAATTAAATTGTCACAGGGGAAATTAATTAAAAAAGAATGATTTCATTCATTCATTCATTCATTCGGTTGTAACAAATGAGATTGGATAATGTATATATTATTGAACTAGTTGAATTACATAAATGTTAATAAAATCTATTAAAATTACATAACGACGAATGGAAAGAAATGGAAAAAAATAGAAAAAATAATTTTTTTTAAAAATTTGTTATATAATCAAGGTAAAGTCTTGCTTTTTTTTGTCAAAACAATAAAAATTAAAATTTTAATTTGTTATAATTAAATTATTCGTCCTCATTAAAAATTAAGAAAATTTAATTTTTTTTGTTTATAAATAATTTTTGACAATTCATAGTTCATGGTCGATTGTTGTTGTTGTTTTTTTACATGATACTATTTTTTATATAAAAACATTTTTTAACAAATTATTTAAATTTTTTAACATAAAAAAAGGAAATAATATTAATTATGTAAAGGTTAATTAATTTTATTTCAAGATTTGTTTATTTATTTAAGAGGTTTTTATAAATTTAAATTCCGATTACAAAAAAAAAAAAATTCAAGGAAATTAATTAATTATATTCGAATAACAAATGGAATCTTTTGAATTTTTTTTTTTTAAGGTTTTTGAAATTTTTAAAAAATAAATGAGATCCAATTAATTATTTATTTGATTTCCCTAGAATGCCTTGAAATTAATCAATTATAAATCATTATTTATTTATACATATATTATTTCAAATTTTTGAAAAAAATAATTTTTATATAATTTAAAGCCTCATTCTCTTGTTTTGTTTTTGTTGTGTCTTTTTTTTGGTAGTATTAAATGAAAATTGTTTGTTTTGTTTTTATAAATGATCATTAATGTGTGTTTGTGTGTTATAATTAAAAAGAGATTCATCTTTTGGTTAAATGTTATTTAAGTGATAAATAAACTTGAGGCTCAAAAAAAAAAATACAAATATTATGAGAAAATGATACCATTTAGGATTTTTGTTTCTGTTTTTAATTGGTTTTTAATGTTTGACAATATATACTTTTTTTTTGTTTTGTTTACCTTAAAGGTAATTAAATTAGGGTTTAACAATCATATCAAATGAGATAAAATAGTTTTTATAATAGTAAAAATAAATAATTTGGAGATCTTATGGTTTCCAATTGTGTATTCGACGTTGGGAAAAATTGAAAAAAATGCTTTTTTAACGATGAATATTTCATTTAAATGAATAAATAATTGTCAATCAAGCTTTTATTTACTGCGAAAAAAGAAATTCAGTTGTTATATCCGTTCGTAATCACGTATTTTTGTTCATTTTACCATTTTTTACAAAAAAAAATATAATAAACAACGAATGTATATTTATCTTGACGTGGATGCAGACGCGATGGCGGTGAATGATCGTTATTTATCGTTTCCGGTTTTGGCGTTCCCGCTTCGTTATGTTTATTATAATCGTGAAAAAATGATTGTGAAAGAAAATGTTTTTTTTTTTATTGTGAATAAAAGTTTTTTGAACTTGTGTTAATATAAAATAAGTTTTATGTGTTTCCCTAAAGGGATATTTCAATTTCTTAATCGATAAATTTAGATAATAAATCTTTTGTAATTAATTCTTTAAGCAAGCCACTTTGTCAACCTTGATATTAATGGCTTATAATTTTTAATCATATGAATTTTGAATGAAGTGCTAAAATCAAATAATAATTTAAAAACTGTTATTATTTTTTTCCTTAGTGAAATAATAATCGATAATCAATAACTAACCACAATAATTTTTTGTTTTAGCTGTTGTTAAAATTTCAAGAAAGGTGAGATGATGATTCATTTTATGTTGCTGGTTAAACAAGTAAAAAGATGCAATAAAAAAAAATTTTCATGTGCTTGATGTTGTGTGCGTTTCGATTGCAGAAGATTTAAATAAAATGAAAGAAAGAAAAAATTAACAGCATAATCATTGCATAATGTTTAAAACGATTATGTAATTCCTTGTTACAATATGAATATTTAAGATTGTAGTTGTAAACGTTAAGTAATTATTATAAATTTTGAATTTCATCTCTTTAATTGTTGTTGTCAATGATGGCATATGAATTTACAAGACAACAACAACAACAACAATGTTGTTTTCCAGGTACTCATAAAATTATTATTTTTTGTAATATGTTTTGTAAATTAAAAACTTTTTTTTATTGCAAATGTAGTTGTATACCTTTAGGATAATATTTAAATATTGATTATGTTACATTGAAGAAAAAGAAAAAGTTAAATTTGCAATCAGGCATAAACTTGAATGAAGAAAACAAATTTAAAGTCGCCATTTTGAAATATATGTTTGTTAAAAAAAAAAAAAAATGGTATGAAGGAGTTTGAATAGTATTTTTATTTTCAAACAATACACATTAAACTAAAACTTATATTAAAATGAATGAATTAGGTCGAGTAAGAGAGAGAGAGAGAGAGAGAGAGAGAGAGCCAAGAGCCAAGGGCCAAGTTGTAATAATACAAGACTGCCTTGAAGAGAAAGGCGGCGGTGGGAGAGAGTAAAAATGGAGGGGCAAGGACAATTCCATGTGCCCCGTTTTTAACATATACCCGAAAACCTCATCGCAATCCACGATGGGGATTTACGGTGGAGATGGAAGGGAAATAAAAAATTACATCAGACCCGGAAGGAGTAGAGGAAATTCTATGGGGGCCCTTATCTGGGCCCACAGTTGGAGTTAAAATGTTTTGTCATTTTATTATTATTATTATTATTATTACAGTACAATCCAACAATGTTGTTTGATTTTTGGCGATTTGAAAAAGAACCTGCGAGTACGACGAGTGCGACCACAACGTCTAAGAAGTTTATTATTCGTGTTATCAGTCGTCCGTCGCCATGATACCAAATCGGACGTTTAAATAATAATCGTGTCAATAATTTTATTTTTTTCGTTCGTTTTTATTTTAACGTGAATTTTTTTTTTTTTTTTCATCGACGATATTATCGTAGTGATTGTTATTTTTTTTAAAAAATTATGTATATTTTTTCGTTAGTCAATTTTATTTAATTGGGAAAGAAAGAAAACGGTTGAAACAATGGCACCAAACGCGGTTGAAATAAGAGATGCGTGTAAGGAATTCGGACGTTCGTCAAAAACGAACGTAATTTTAAAAAATTTAAACATGACAGTGCCACAGGGTGTTATGTAAGTTTATTAATTTATTTATTTAAATAACGTGTCATTAATTTTTTTTACTTTTAAAGTTATTAACGTGTGTGATTACATTTAAATATAAACTTTTTTTTTTAGTTTATGTTGTCTATATATATATATATTTTTTTCAGTTATTTTGAACGGAAGGCGTGGCTATTGACACGAATAATTTTCGAGTATCTGTGACCGATATATATATAAAACAATAATTATTATTATTATTATTTAACTCGAAATACAATTATTAAAAATCGAATCGATAATAATAAATAATTTTTTTTTTAAAAAAAATATTCTACGACGTTAAAACTTTACGAACGTTGATGATTCGTTTAGGTTTTGAATTTTTTTAAGGTTTTTTGCCGGTTAGTTTATTGAACCTGATTTATTCACGTGGATTTAGATTTCGACTTTTACTACATATTATCATCATCATCATCATCACCTACGACGAGATTTTCATTTCTTTTTTTTGTAACGTTTCTAACATTTTATTATTATGTAAAAAAAAATTTTTACAGTCAGTTTTCTGATAATGATGATGATGAAAAGGTTTTCAGCAAATGGGGAAGGGGAGAAGGGGGGGAAACAAAATAATGTCAATGAAAACAAGTTATCGAAATTAATTAATTAATTTATTTATCATTAATTTTAATATAATGTAATCGATTTTTTCTTATTTTTTTTTTTGTAGGTTAAACGTTCCAAGGGTGGTTCTGATGTTACTAAAAAAAAAAATTACATTTTTACTAATCATTAATCCTTGTTTAATTAATTTCAAGGTAGAATAACTAACCAACTAACTAACTAACATTCGAAGTAATACCAACGTAAAAAAAAAAAAAAAATAAATAAATAAATAAATAAATTTTTGGAAATGCCAAAATAAGTAAAAGTTACGTTTTTTTATTTTATTTTATGTAATTAAATTACATGGTAAAGTTTATTATTATTATTATTATTATTATTATTATTATTATTATTAGCGTAATAAAAATAAGTTGTTGATAATGATAATAATAATAATGAAAATTTATTTTTCATTTCCTCGTTGCAGATACGAAAAAAAATTTTTTTAAATCAATCAAAAAAACATTAAAAAATGTGATTTTTATCACATGAGGTTTTTTTTTGTCTGAATACGTCACTGTTACTATCGATTACGTCATAAATTTTTTGTACTTTTTTTTTTTTTTTAAATTTACCCAAAAAGGAAAATTTTTTTGAGATTCGAGAAAATTTGAAGAAAATTTTGAGAAAATTTATTGGAGTAAGTAGTCAAACAATCAATCGTTTAAACAAAACAATGGTTTTTTTTATTGCGATAATAATAATAATAATAATAATAATAATAATAATAATAATAATAATAATAATAATAATAATAATAATGAATTTAATATTTATGGAATTCCATAATTATCAACTGGAAAATGACTTTTTCGTCTTTGAACGGTTCAAGGAGGAAGGAAATAAATAAAAAAAAAATTATGCGGAAAATATGTAGTAAGGGTTAGGACAAGGCAATTTTCTTTTTTCTTTATGATGTACCTGAGAAGAAGGAGGAGGAGGAGATGAAGGAGGAGGAGGAGGAAAAAGAAAAGAAAAAAATTACAATGCGGAATATTAATTACAATCCTTATTATTATTATTATTATTATTTGTGTGTTGCGAAGGCGGCGTTATTATTGTGTATGCTATCGAATGAATTTTTAAAAAATTTTTTAAATGTGTGATTTAATTTTTTGGCGGGAAAAAAAAACGCGTTTTTTAAAAAAAATTTTATTTCGCGAACTCTCACACATTTCTATAATTAATTAATTAATTAATTTTTATTAGGATTCGTTCGGTTTATAAATGAATGAAAATTTATTGAAATTGAATTTAAATGTCACCTTATGTGCCTCTATACGTTTCATTTCCTATAATCTCTTACTTAATAATAATAATAATAATACAATTTCACGTCTCGGAAATCACGTTTTTTATTTTATTAAGTTAATCATTTTCAATGATGAATTCTTTGATGATTGATGATTAAAGAATATTCTAGATAAAAAAAAAAAAGGAAAATTTATTTAATTAGTTTATATATAAAAAAAAAAAATGGTTAGAATGAAAATTGTTACCTTTTACAGTCGTGCTGGAAAATTTGGGGCATTTTATAATTACAAACGCGTTATCATTTCATAGTATTTATCATTTTCTATCTATCTCTCTCTCTCTCTCTCTCTCGTAATATAAAAAAAAAATGGTTGAAAAATGATTTTATTATTTCATCTTTCTTGGGCGATCGTTTGTAATTCGATTCGTTTAATAATATCGAATGTAATAATAAAATTTATTACTTTGGAGGATTAAATTATTTTTTTCTATTACATGATATTCGTACGGGGGGTGGGGTGGGGAGGGGAGGGGCGGCGGATGTTACATGATAATAAACTTTTTTTTTTAAACCAGTGATTATAAATACAGTTAAAAGTAAGGAGAAAGTGGTAGGAGTAAAATGACATGGTGTAAACTCTAAGGAAATATTATTAAATTTATCAGGAAAAGATATTAAAAAAAAAAATTATTGAGTAATAATAATAATACTAATAATAAAGCTAACGAAAAGAGTAAAAAATTATTATTATTATTACTATTTTACCTTCACGCGCTCTTTACGTATTAATTTTATTAATTAATTATATGTTATTTAACGTTTATTTATTAAAGGGATATAAATAAATTTATTGTATAAATAATAATAATAATAATAATAATAATTTTTTATTTACAGATATGGTTTGCTCGGTGCGAGCGGATGTGGTAAAACAACACTTTTATCCTGTGTCGTTGGAAGAAGAAAACTTAATTCTGGAGAAATTAAAGTTTTAGGTGAATATCCGGGTACTCGTGAATGTGGAGTACCTGGACACCGCGTCGGTTTCATGCCTCAGGTACGCGTGTGTGTGTGGGGTGTAGGGTGTGCGGGCGTGCACGTGTATGTGATGCAATTTAAAAATTCGTTTTTTTTTTTTTTTTTTAGGATATAGCTTTGATAGGGGAATTGACAATAAAAGACTGTGCAAATTATTTTGGATGGATTCACGGTATGACGGATAAACAAATAGAGGCCAAATATGCATTTTTAGAAGAACTATTGGATTTACCACCAAGAAACATTTACGTTAAAAATTTAAGGTACCAATAATATTTATATACGGTAAAAACAATAATAATAATAATAATAATTTATAACAGAATAAACTGTATTATTCGTTGGAGGTAAACAAAAAGAAAACAAGGTTGAACCGTTGATAGTTCTCTAGGTCATAACACCATTAGCATCTTCTTTTATATGCCCTTGATGTCGATGCCAAATTTTTTTCCTTTGATACCTGGCAAATATTCAAAATCTGATATGGGACAACATTATTATTAATATTTTTATTATTACAATTAGTACTCACGAGTATTTGAATACATATTACGATGGGTAGTTGTTACGTCATCGAAAAATTATCCCCTTTTTCTCTTATAGTGGTGGACAACAAAGAAGAGCTTCTTTGGCCGTCGCCATGATACACGATCCAGAATTATTAATTTTGGATGAACCCACCGTAGGATTGGATCCAGTTTTAAGGCAAACAATATGGGATTATTTGTTAAAACTTGTTACGGAAGAAAATCGAACAATCATAATAACGACACATTATATAGAAGAAGCGAGACAAGCTCACATGGTGAGTTTTTTTTTTTTTTTTTTTTTGTTTGCGGTGACGTATTAAAATACTGACGTCATTTCCGGTTATGCCCTATTAATTATTTTTTAAATTGTATCGATAATAATTTTTTTTTTTTTTGCAACAATTTAATCGAACGTGTGTGTGATTAACATTTATTTATTTATTTACCGTGAAACATTTTTCTTTTCGTCACCGTATTTTATGACGTCACGCGTTGACATTTTGACGACGACTTGACGGCACATTAGACGTTTGTTAAAATATTAAACGTCTAATAAAATTAACCGTTGAGTTTTTTTTTTTTTTTTTTTTAAAGGCAATTAGTTAATGTAAATGCATACGAGCGTGTGGCGGATTAAGGATTAAGAATCTCTCTCTCTCTCTCTCTCTCTCGATTTTAAATATAATCGAATAATAATAATAATAATGATAATAAAACGCGTTGCTAAATCGATATCCAAAAAAATAATTATGGAAAGTAAGAGTAGTAGTTTGTTTGCATAAGGCATAACTTATTC